TTAGTTGAAAAAGAAAAAGAAGCTGAAAGGGAAAAGAAAGCTCCACCCCCTGAAAGTGAAACTGAAGCGGAAGACAAGGATGATGAAGCCCACGGCATCATTTTCCAAGGTGAGGATTTACCTGACCCTATACCATCACACCTCTCTGCAGAGGACAGGGAATTCTTTGATGAAATTTTCATAAGAGGTGAGGTTCCAGGGTCAGCCGAACCCAGTGCTCCGCCTGAGCATGCCGTTCCTGTTTCTGGTGTAGCTATTCTTCCCCAGGTTGCCAATCGATGTTCCGACCTATGTCAAAAGTCGCTGCCTGTTTTTGGTTGCCCCGCTGTAGGTAAGCCAACTAACCGCGATAATCGTAGGAGTCGGAAAGCTGCCAAGAAAGCTTCCAGACCCAATGCCAAGTCAACCATGTTTGATTTTGCTTGTTCTGAGGACTCCCAGATGGGTGTTACTCACCAAGAATATGGCATTAATCATGTTAGACTTTGTAAGGATAGGATAGACCTGGGAGATGAGTCACAATGTGAGCAACTAGACTATCAGATAGATGAAGCCGCTAAGGTTGCACCTCCACATATGTGGGCCTCTATCCCTTGCACATCCGGATCCCCTTGGCAGTATATCAATAGGAAGAAGGGTGTTGCCGCATTCATGAGGAAGCTTGCCCACCAGGTCAAAGAGTCCAAACGGTTGTTTAAGAGTTTTTCCAAACGCGCTGAAAGGGTTCTCAATCATGGTGGCACTGTAACGTTTGAATGGCCAAGACCTTGCTCTGGCTGGAAAAGGCCTGACGTTGTAGCATTCTTTGAGAAACATCCCCAGTTTATGACCGTTGGTTTTGAAGGGCGTACTGTAGGTTTAACCGACAGAAATGGTTATCCCATCAAAAAGCCATGGAAACTCAAGACCACTTCTCCCCGAATTGTAGAGGCGTTTCAAGACATGCGGTGCCGATGCCAGCAACCTCATTCCAGATGTGAGGGAGCTGAGACCACTCGCTCCGCAATGTATCCGCCCCAAATGACTAATTTAATTGCGCAAGCTTTGTATCCCTCAAAATGTGCCCAGCAGTCCCTGCTATGCCTTGCCGACCGGCAACTAGCGAACCTCAACCCCATAGGGAAATTGAGCAACATCTTAAGCACGTATCCCCATTAGCTGGTTTTGAAGATTTAGCTATTGCTGTTGAATCAGACCCCACCGCTAATAGATTGGTTACAGAACTTCTTGACCATGAACAATTGATCGCGCAAGCCCTCCACCTGGAGGACCCAAAGGCGCCAACGCCTGAGATCAAAGCAATGGTCACCAAGCTCTTATCCCGTGCGGAGATGCTGTCCAACCCCAAGGCCCTTGAGGCAATTCGCGCCGAAGCCGATGGTTTGGTGAAGGCTGGTACCTGGGATCTTGGCTCGGTCCGCGAGAAGGAAGATGTACGCAAAGAAGCTAAGGCTTCGGGTGTATCAGTGCACTTTGGTCAACTCATGACCATCGCGTCCATTAAATTCTACGAGCTCGCAGACCACCTTCACAAAATGAAGGGGCGCATCGTGTACAGAGGAGACTGCGCAAAGGACGAGCATGGTGCAGCCGCAGTTTACCAAGAACTCGGCGCAAACCCCACCTCCGTCCAAGGGCTAAACGCCTGCCTGGCGTACGGGTCGCTGCCGGGTAACCGCGCGACGGCTGCAGATGCAGTCAAAGCTTACGTCCAAGCACTGTTATCTTCCAAATACAAAACCTGGATTGAGCTTCCCCCGGAGCTCCGCCCTAAGTATTGGAAACAACAGTTTGTTAAGCCCGTAGTCCTCTTAATTAAAGCCTTATACGGTCATCCTGATGCCGGAGGCCTGTGGGAACAACACCTGAAAGTCATCATCAAGAACCTTGGTGGACAGGAAGTTCTAGAATACCCAGGAAACTTTTACTTTCCAGATACAAAGTTACTTCTGTCAACTTATGTGGACGATTTAACTCTAGCTGGCCCCGCCGACCAGCATGATGCATTCTGGAGTAAGTTAACTTCTGTGGTAAACATAGGACCCCCAGAGCCCATCTATAGGATTCTTGGACGCAACCATGTTGTTACCCCACTTCCCAAGACCGAAGGTCATGCAAAATGTGCAGCCTTCCAAGCCCAGACTGGCATGGTTTTTGATATGGCAGACTACGCTCAGCAGACCGTAGATTTGTATAAATCAATAACTGGTGTCACCAAACTCAAGCATGCAGCCACGCCATTTCCACCTGAGGGATCCATCACCATTGAAGATGATGAAACTAAAGGGGAACTAGCTCCAAATGCATGTAAGATTTTGATGAAAGCCCTTTGGTTAGGTAGACTTGCACGTCCCGACATCATCAAGCCTATCAATGATCTGGCCACAAAAGTCCAGTCGTGGTCCAGGGGGGATGATAAGAAGGTCCTAAGATTAATCCAGTACATAGCCTCAACCCCACACTATAGGTTAGTAGGTACCATTCAAGACAAGCCTGAAGACCTAGAGCTCAGATTGTTTGTCGATGCCGACTTCGCCGGCGACAGATCAACTGCACGCTCAACCTCTGGTGGCTTTCTGGCTTTAACTGGCCCTAGTTCCTTCTTCCCACTTGCATGGATTAGCAAGCGCCAAACATCCACCTCTAGATCGACCACGGAAAGCGAGGTTGTTAGTTTAGCCCATTCGCTTTATCAAGAAGGCTTGCCTGCCGTACAGTTATGGGAGCTGTTGCTTGCACGCTCCGTAACCCTAAGGGTCCACGAAGATAACCAAGCAACAATCCTAGTTGTGAAGAAAGGATATAGTCCCAAGCTTCGCCACATAACTAGAACACACAAAGTAAATTTGTCTTGCCTGTCTGAAATCTTCAGAGATGACTCTGCCGAAATAGAGTACATCCACACCGATGATCAGGCGGCAGACATCTTCACCAAGGCATTACCTCCACATAAATGGGCAGCAGCACTAGTCCTTTTAGGAATTCGTACTGACCTTCCCTTAGACCTTAAATCCAAAGCATAGGTCGCTGTGAACGTCCGTTCACGCGACAGTAGTTGCTTAGGTGCCTGCCAATGCGCAGTGCGTGTGGAACAGGCGAGGGGGGAGTTGAAATATATCGACCCCTGAGCCCCACCATGTATAGCATGTGCAGGTAGGTCTAGTAGAGGTATGTTGTAGCTATGATTCCAATATACTCCAAGTAGATATCCCCGATATGTACAGCAGTAGCACCACCTACTTAGAAGCGTTAGGTAGGTAGAGTAGCCATGTTTATAGTAGGGATTCCCCTAACCCAACAACTACCGGGTCAGGGTGAAACTTCCGCTGCTTGCGGCATGGCTCAAGTGCCCGTTCAAAAGAAGGCATTTGTTTTGTTTGTATGTGCAGGGTTCGGCGGTTTAGATTCCCCTTGTTTTGGGTTTCTGTTCCGAACCCCTGTTTGTCTATGATATGGGTAATATAATGGGACTATTCATGATATCATGGGATTATGTTTTTGTCGCCAAATTTATGATGTAATATCACCAACAATTTATCATGTAAATATAACATAATTTAAAATATAATATTATAATATTATATATATACTTAATAGATAATATATAATATATAATATAACATATAGTATGTTATGATTTAATTTAGTATAATATATAATATATAATATTTAATATATATATTTAATATTTGATATATTTAATATACTATAGTATACTATGATATCATGTAATATTTGTCATAAGCTTCATTATTCTAAATCATAGTGTTTTTGATAGTCATAGTTACAATGATTTATGATACCATAAGTCCACTATTGTATGATTGAGATGATGATATAAATTAGTGGGATACAAAACCAACAGTGTGATACCAGTATTGGTTGTTTTTGACCCCTAATCAACCAAGTAATCAACAAAAAAAGGTGGTATAACGGTACAACAACTGTATAACCAACCAGTTTATGGGAATATGATATGTCATGGTATATGCAACAAACAATATGTCTATGACATTTGGGTATGTCTGAAAATGGGGTATTCATCGGTATATCGTACCCAAGTGGCAAATGATTCTTCTCTTCCTCGCGCCTCAGCACGAGGTCCCCAAATCAACTGGTGACGAATCATGTTCCTGTAGTGGGTCATGATTTTTTTGCGGATATGATTTTGTGGAAATGGTATACACAAATTATGTCACTTATATATTTATATTATATTATATTATATTATATTATATATATATATATATATATTATTTTATATATGACACTTGCATACTGAGAGGAGCATACCATGAAATGTACCTGATTGTTGCTGCTGGTTCGTGGCATGTCAATTCGGCGTGCGTGTTGCGAGGCTACCCTGTAGCTGGCTCCGGGCTCTTCCCAACTGTGGTAATGTTTCGATGATTTGCTGAGTATCCTACAACTGTGGTTATTTTTACACTAGCCCAGCAAGCCATGCATTTTTTAAGGGTCCGCTGGGCTTCAAATTCACTGATGTTTGGCTATATCCAGCCTTGATGTTCTTATTATAGTCATTACAGTAGTTCATGTGGCGCTGTAAATCACCATATTTTCCACTCACTTCGTCCATCTATCGTTTTATCTCCATCTTTGCAGGTGAACAGAAAAACGTCATTTAGGTCTCATTGTACAATTGTCTCTTCAAAATTGTTTGAATTTAATGCAGGAACACATGGCATAAATTAGGGTCTCCCACAAAATGGTAGTTTAATATTGAACATATGTGAGATTAGGTTTTGGACCATCAAACTGGTTTGTGCGCCATTGCAGATAAACCCAGTTTTCCTTTCAAAAATCTGGAAATGATCAATTACTCGTATCATCAATTAATCCCCAAAATTGCCAAAATGTAGCATGATCATCTGATCTAGAATCTGGGGATAACTGGAAATTCTCAAAATCCAGGAACATCTACATGTTTTCAAGAGTCTGGGGGTGGATCTTCCCATTGTCTTTGGTTTATAACTGCCGAGGCTCCTTCCTTCCTTGGAGCCTTTGACCCCTCGGGAGCGACAGTGGCGAGAATCTGCTAATAAACATGGATTTGATGGGGATTTACCAAGTTTTCAGAACACTTGGGATTTGGGAAGATTTATCAACTCAAAAATGAATAAAAATGGGTGATATACCCATTGGATCACGTTAGGTTAGTGGTTTCAATCTGGTTTTCGACGTTCAACCATGGAAGTGGTGCCACCAACCAAGGGATGGTTAGAGAATTATCCTACTAGAGACGATGATCCGGATAGATTTTTAATGATTTTTATATTCTCTGATGGATATTTCAATCACCAACCAGCCAACACATACCTCTAGTTGGCTTCGCAATTCCGATTTGCTGAGTCAGTTGTCTTTCTTATTTCCCAATAGCTTAAATCACTATTTTGGGATTGTACTGCGAATAGGTTTTACATTTTTTGGGGGGCATCTTAAGCAAATCCAAGAGCAAGTTTTTGTTGATGGCTGGATGCCATACCAATCACATCTCGATAGCAAGCGCGACACAATGACTCACCGGAGACCCTTGCGAATGTCAATCAGATGATCATATTCGAGTCACTCTTCAATGGACATTCGAGTCTAATTTCCAGTGTGTAATGATTGTTGGCTTACAAAAAGATTAGGTTTTTGTTTGCAGTTGGGACGGATGAAAGTCATCTTCACCGTGACCAAATAGGGGGATGGCAGTGGTTTTGATGATCCCAGTTCATCTTGATTTCCTCAAATTGATTGCAACTTACCAAAGAGGCAAAGACAAAGACATTGAGTCAAATGTGTTGGTGTTGTTGCTGGTGTTGTTGTTGTGGTTGCTGGTAATGTTGTTGCTGGTGTTGTTGTTGCTGCTGTTGTTGTTGTTGTTGCTGGTGTTGTTGTTGCTGGTGTTGTTGTTGTTGTTTTTGTTGTTGCTGTTGTTGTTGTTGCTGTTGTTGTTGTTGTTGCTGGTGTTGTTGTTGCTGGTGTTGCTGTTGTTGTTGTTGTTGTTGCTGTTGTTGTTGTTGTCGTTGTTGTTGTTGTTGTTGTTGCTGGTGTTGTTGTTGCTGGTGTTGTTGTTGTTGTTGCTGGTGTTGTTGTTGCTGTTGTTGTTGTTGCTGTTGTTGTTGTTGTTGCTGTTGTTGTTGTTGTTGTTGGTTGTTGGTTGTTGTTGTTGCTGTTGTTGTTGTTGTTGATGCTGTTGTTGTTGTTGTTGTTGCTGTTGTTGTTGTTGTTGTTGATGTTGCTGTTGTTGTTGATGTTGATGTTGTTGTTGTTGTTGCTGTTGTTGTTCTTCTTCTTGTTGTTGTTGTTGTTGTTGATGTTGCTGTTTTCCCCACGATAAAGGACAATTATGGTCGTTCGCAAGTGGCTGGAGTTCCAAGATAGGTATCGGTACACAGCTGTTTGATGCTGTTTGTAGGTCCATGGCTTCCGTGATGAATTGTCCGCATTCATACACATATACAGTAATAGACAAACATATAACATCATATAACATGTACACCTGCGCATGTATAAATTATAATTATAGTATATAATTAATTGCTTTTATTCTGGGCATTGCTTCGCGCAGGACCAGACACGTCTGACTTTTACGGCATTAGCTGTCTGGCTTCGCTGCCAGACATGTTCGCGGGGACACCTGGGAGATGTCAGGGATGATTGGGATGATCAAAGTCGACCCTCTGGTAATTTAACATAGCCGTGGTATAGATGGCCCATTTAGTTCGTTGATTTATCGAAAAACTACGGTAATTGTCCAGTTCGCAAACTGTAAACTTTAAACGTTTACCGGTATACGACAATCTCCGATATGCAGACATGTGACATGTGGATATAAAAGTAGACCTAGCTCCACATACACATTCATATAGATGATATACAGATATGAGCCTAAGGCCAAACGTTTGTAATGCCAAACAGGATGATATTGTTTTTTTTGGTGTATGTGTATATTTATAGATAAGTGATGATAAATGTGTGTGTGCCTGCTTGGTCTTCATTACTCAATATATTGGGTCATGTTTGGTTCGATTGCTTGATCATGCCCGGATCATACGACCACAAATAGCAAGAATCTAGAGACTACTGTAGTGGATGGTTTCAATGGTTTTTCAGTACCGGGGATGGTGAATTCAACATAGTTTATGATCAATTGTGAATTCCATATCTACCTTAGATTGATTGATCATTATAATTCATAATTGTATATTATAAATATATCTAATATATTATTATATCTATATGATTATATAGGATCTATTTCAGACATATTCCAGGTTCCGGTTATATGATGAATCTACCTTGGAGGATGTTCCCTGCCAAGGCGACCACCAAAGACCGCTTGGATGCTGGCGATAGCATCATCATCCACTCCGAGAGAAGCACCGACCCTTTTCTCGCGGACTCGAGTGGCTGGGACAAGTTTCCATGGACTGAAGTGACTGAAGGGAAGATAGACAGAGATTTTTACCATGGAAAATGCATGAAACATGGATATTTTGGGTTGAAAACTGGAGTTGATTGTATTGCCACAAAGAAATCCTTTGCTAAGTGGTTGAGCAAGTGGTGATATACTAATTTGATACATCTGATTACATCTGATTGCCATACCAGGATGGTTGCGCACATGAAATGGGATACCCCAAAATCTCATACACATATTAGATGATCATCATTTTCCCATGAATTTATAGCAATGAATCGGGGTCACTTGTTGGTTTCCGACCCACTTCTTGCTTGTTGGTGTACCACTTGTCATTTACCCAAATACCCAGACCTAAATAGCGGTTGTTTGGGTTTGTCTATGATTGAATTGATGACATTCATGACATCTCTACTTTTGATGTGAAAAAAAAACTTTTTGCAAAGCTGTGGTGAACCGGACAAATCAACTCCTGGTTGACCCAATCCACGATGTTCCGCAGCGAGGCTATCAAAGTCTTCTGCAGCAGCACTATGCCAAAAACCATACTGAGGCGGGAATCTTGCAATCCGATGCCACACTGCGACGTCACGTCTGGTGGTGAACGGATTTGGGGAACTACCCCCCCTACGTGACAGTGGAAGTCACCAGAGATGATTTTCCCGGCAAACCTCCAAATTTTAGGGGGTTTTCAATTGTCACCTTTGATTACAATAGGGTATCCCAAATTGATATAAATTGATGGAACTTTCCAGGTTGATGAATTCGTGTGATTTATCGTGGTACAAAAATGGATGGACACTCCTTACCAGTTAAAACGATCTGTGGATGAATATCGGCTTGAACATTTGATCAAGGCCCGTCCTATGGGTTAACATGTTAGCTGATTTCAGGCATTTTTTCAAACCAACCAATCTGCATCATTTTCCTTGCCAGGCCTCCCATTTTTCACTGATGAATTTGCCAATGTTTGCCAGCGATTGGCAAAACAACAACAAAAAGTGAGAAACTATGGCCAACTCATTTTTCTTATCACTCAATTCAGTGATGATTATTATCGTTTTTTAGAACAATCACTGAATTCTTTGAACAAATCCTGCCCAAGAAAATCCGCTGGCTGACTCCTCCAGGCATTGCTGGTGTTGTCCTTTGTAGAGAACGAGCAGTGCCCAGTCTCTGAAGTGAAGTGAGACGGAAAGGGACGACTCAATGAAGGGACTTGGGGGAATCATCCCCAAATTGGGCGTATAGAATGAACCGTTTTTTGTTTTAAACGGGAATAGAATGACATCCATACAATGAAATAGAATGAAATATAGTGGTTAGTAACCAAACATATCAGGTTGGTGAATCGATTTATTTTCTGTGTGTAGTTTCTTGGTATGAAACCAAGAAGGTTGAACACTGTCATGAACTATGGTTGTCCATTATCATCCAACTCAGCATTGTTTCAAGAGGAAATGCCCAGAATAAAGACCTGTATGACTTGTATGTTTTGCCACCAATGATTCTAATTAACCTCATTGTTGGCCATTTAGCCCTAGGATTTTATTAAATACCAAGAACTTGATTTATACATATATTTATACCTTATATATATGATATATGTGATCCCCTTATTTGATGTCTCTTTTTTGGGGACCATTTGCCCGATAAACAAAGCCATGTTTTGCTGTGAAGTTCACCGGGTTCACCGCTTCCGCGGTGAACTTCACGAGGTCGTGGTACAAGTTGCTGACCCGCCACGGGACGGTGATGAGCTACGCCAAGAACCATCCGGCCTTTTGGCGACTGGGACAGTGGGACCACATGGGACCACATGGGACCACTGTGATCTCAAATTGGTGGATGCCTACAGGCTGGGGCATCCTAGCACCCTACTTGGTTTATAATTTAGAATAACTAAGCTAACTGTGGTCTATGGTAATTTGATAGAACATGATGATATAGATGATACAGTTATCGTTAGATCGGGGTTTCCATAAATGGTGGTACAGTGGTACCCCAAAATGGATGGTTTATAATTAAAATCTCTTGAAATGGATGATTTAGGGGTATCACCTTTGATTGGAACCTCCAGATTGATTTATAGATCAACCATATGATCATATTAGTTGATCATTAGTTGATGGTAATTTGATATATCTTTTTATTACATGATGATACAGCTATAGTTAGATTGATTCACATTATCTATCAACTACATTATCAGCTATAGTATGATGGAAACCTCCAGATTGTTTTATAGATGATGATATAGTTGATATATTATGAAGTTTATATAATCTATATTATCATATGAATATATTAATTATATATATATTAATTACTGAAAGCAGCGTTGTGAGCGCCCACGTTTTGGGCAGTCTCCTTTTGCCACTTTTCTCCATGAATCTACCCATCCAGAAAAAAATATGGCTGCACTTGTCACTTCAACATTGCATCTCCCACAGGCAAACCCCAAGAACAAAATTCCTTACACATTAAACTCCGTAACTGAAAAACGAAAAAACAAAAAAAACAAAGAAAAAACAAAAAAAACAAAGATTCCAGAGAAAGGTTGGGGGGCTCATAGTTGCTGGATCTTTGGTTTGTTTTGTCTTTTTTGCTTTTTTTTGTTTTTTTTTGTTTTTTTCGGTTTTTGTGTTTTTTTGGTGGTTTTGCTTATTGTACCGCCTGTCTATAGGGGTGGTTTTACCTTGAAAATGTTTTCTCCATTGCTGCCGGTCTCTCCTTCCCACTGCCGTGGCATGAAGCCAGCGTTGTTGCTAGCTACCTTTACATTGTCATGGCACTACGGTGGCTCACTTCATAGCTTTACGCTTACTGGTGGTAGCAGTGGACCTTTGGGTGATGTACTTCGGCATGGTCTCCAAATTTTGGTTCCAAAATCGGATGCTCTCCTGCACCCAGAAGCGGTGACTGTAAGGGTTCATCGCGTTGAGGGCAAAACCTAACACAGTTTTATCATACAACCTTGTGGACACCAACTATGCCAGGACTCAGGACCTATGGGTGACAATTGCCCTTCAGTCTTCGTAGTCGATGCCAAACCCATGACCTACACCTTCTTCATCATCTTCAGCCACATCCCATTCAGGATTTGGAATTGCCTCGGGGACAGACGTTGCTTCATTTTCTTTGTCACTGTCATCCAGATCAATGCAGGCTCCAGGCTGCTGCGCTACCAATTGGCTCCAGACCTTGGCTTTCTTGAAGACAACCTCATTGTTTTTTTCAGCCAATTCCCTTTTGATGGTGACTTGATCAGCCCGCTGGTTCTCCAAGATGTCCAGGGCACTATTGGGAGGAGGGGGCCTTTCTGCAAACAATGCTGCACGAAGACGACGACGATTTTCTTCATCTGCTTGGTTGACCTTCCTTTGGTCCATCTTCTGCTTCATGAGCATGGACACCCATGCCTGCTCTTTCTAGAGTTCCTCCTCAAATTTTTCCGGCATGTCCTTGTTTCCGCTCTTGTAGTTTCCGTAGACCTGGCGGCCTGCCTCTGTGAGGAAGCCTTCAGGAAGGATAGGGATGCGATGCACAGGGTTCAGATTGATGCCGGCTGGGCGGTAGTAGATGTGATCCTTGGTGTTCACAATGAAAGCTGCTCTCTTGAAGACAGCGTCCATGTGAGCTCTGGAAGCAGATTCCTTGAAGGCAGGACGGACCAGCTTGTAGAAGGTCTCAAAAGTGATGTGATCAAGAAAATGATCCGGGAGATCGAGGTCAGCATCGTAGGTGTTGTCAGCGACAGCTCTGGGCTGGTTTTGCACCCACTTGCTTGCCCCCCAGCGAGCCCATGCCATGCTCTCGTACAAACCCACATCAAGGAATGCCTTCACAAGCTTCATGTCAAGGATGCTGAGGGATGTATCATCCAAGAAGTCGCCCATCAAGACACAACCAGGCTCACCTCTCAGGAAGTCGAGTTCTGGTGTGCAACGCACACAGGGATGACCATCAAGGTTGAACCTGGCTTGGTTGTGCCTGACTTGCGCCATGAGGACGCTGCGGCCGAGAGGGCTCTTGCCAGTGCCAGGCTCGCCCAAGAGAATCAAAGCAGACTGATCAAAGTCCCAAATCTTCTCCAGGGTGGTGAGGATGGCACGATCATAGAACAGGGGTGACAAGGGAATTGGCCAATGTGGTTCCTTCTTTGCCAGGGCGCCATCAGAGGACAAGTTCCTGAGAGCTTGGCTGATCAAGGCACCTGGCCAGCCGAAGATTGGAGAGGACTTGTTTCTCAGTTCCTTGGTTTGCCACCGCAGCTGCGCCATTTCGCAAGAAGATCTTGGAGCAGTGCGCAAAATGTAGTCGAACCCTTCATCGATTTCGACGTCCTCCTTGTCTTCGAAAGGCATGCTCGTTTTCGACTGGCCCCTACGGGTAGCTTGTGAGGAGAGATCAAAGCACCTGAAGGCATGGCCTCCCAGATTTTCAAAGCAGTACTGCAAGATCTTCCTTCCAACCTTGGGGTTGCTCTTCATGAACAAGGGCCGGTAGGGAGATCCGAAGCAGATTTGCTGGACAAAGGACACTTTCACCTTGTCAGGGAAGGACACATGCTTCAAGATAGCCTTCTTTCCATCAGGCTGCTTCAGGATGGCTATCTGGATGGTTGTCTCCTTTGGGCATGCAGCCTTGAGACCAAAGGGTGCAGGAAGAAGTGCAAGATCTTTCTTCTCACACGCCAGTTTGTAGGAAGAGGAGAGGCCAAAGAAGTCGATGTCATCTTCATGGTCGACAATCAAATCAAAGTAGTGGACGCCGGGGTTCTCTGTGCCTTCCACTTTAGTCATGGGGAAGGTCATGAGAGTGAAGGATCCAAGAGGCACTTCTGGAAGAACCAAGGGTGAGATGGATCTGCATGAAAGGGAGTCCACAAGTTCCTTCAATTTGTCGTAGTCCATGTTTTCAGCTTGCATGGCCATGACGAACAATGACGATGATATTGGCGCTATTTGGTGGCTGGAAAAGGCAACAGTACATATTGCTTACAGACTTGGACACACATGTCAGAAAATGCTCAAAACATAGCATTTTTTACGAGATTTGTGGGCACTGAGAGCGCTGGCCTCTCATTAATTATATATATTAATATTACCCTCTATATATATATATGTATAAATATTATCATCTATATCAACTATATTGATTTATAGATTCAACTAATAACTGTGATGCCCCACCTATCAGGTGCCCTTTGTGGAGACCGACATCCGTCCGGGCCAAGCTCCACCCGGCGTGGCGAAGTCGCTGCAGCTCTCGGGGGTTCAGCCCGTCTCAGTGTCGCTCACTCGCTGAGGGAGATGATTTGGATGACGTTTATGGGGGTGTTACCTGTTATAGATGGTTTACCTATTATAGATGGTTTACCTATTATAAATGGTGATTTTCCATGGCTATGTTAAATAACCAGATGGTACATATATTGGCTGGTGCTTTGGAACATGAATTTTTTGACTTTCCAAAAGAATGGGAATGTCATAATCCCAACTGATAAACTCATATTCTTTCAGAGGGGTTGAAACCACCAACAAATATATGTTTATGTGATTATGCAACACGTATATATATATATACATTATGTTGATATATGCCATGTTCATATATTATGTACATATATGCCATGTTCATATATTATTGAAATTGATAAACCATATGGATTAGTACTATATGGTTTGGACTTTTGGATGAGTTTCTACGTTGACACACCCAAACATATGTAGCAATTTGTGGTTTAACAAACAAAATAGTAGTTGATGAGTTTAGGGAGGGCAAATGACGATATGATGGGAGTTCATTTATATGATATGGCTAGTATGAAGAGTGTTTGATGATGTACATGAGTGTTTTTTTTAATGATGGTTGTGCTTGAACATGACGGTAACCCCGGTTTGGTTTAGCATGGCTTTTCTCATCATCCCATGAAAATTGCCACTTCGGGGTTTACCCCATTGTCAGACACACCCACTGCCAGTAGCGGTTTGAATATTCAATGGTCTGTTCTGTGTTCGGGGGTGCGGAATGACGGTTAAATAAATTTCAGGAAAACGATATGCGCAGATAAAACCCGGGTTTGCTGAACCAACCCGATGATTAAAATGGTTGTGCTTGGGTTTATGTGTTGTTTTTGTATGATGCTATATTATGTTACAGATCTATCTACAGTGAGTATGTTGTTAGTCTTACTGTTTCACAGATCAGAGGTTCAAAAGTTTCAACTGTGTCCTTTGGGAATGAGTTGAAACTACCAACCAGATAAGTATAGACTGTAGTGGTCACTGCTGTTGTTTCTCTTAGTGGTGATGGAGTTGTATGATGTTGGGGAGAATGATGTGCTGGATCATGGTTACAAGATCTTACAATTTCAATGCTTCATGTTTGTGCGGACGTCTTTGATGTTGGTATATATATATATATTTGGCAGTGTTGTTCATATATGAATAATTACTTGGAACATGGTCTTTGATTGATTGTATGGGTGTCCCTCCAGTCAACGACTCCACTGACAGTATTAGCCAGGCCAAATCCTAGCGAGGTGAGTTACGCATGTATATAAATATTCTGTATGATACCGACAGAAGTGATGACCAACCATCGTGTCCTTTTTTCGAATTTGAACGCGTTGCTGCAGAGTGATAGTGTATATAGTGCATTTGGGATATGCGATGATATATCACATGCTAAATCCCACTAAAGTTTTGCAGTGGAAGAAACAAAAAACAGCTGTGTTAGGACTCATAGCGCGCACAACAATAATTACAAGAAAAAACAGATTGCTAACAGCCACACATAAAATAACATCAATTTATTGTAGTAAACCATTACCCTATGGTTATTTAACAGTTCGCTATCGAACCATGTTAAACCTGATGAGTTACAACCATGAATTTACCAAATGTTACCATCTATATTTACCTGTAGTACTTTATGGTTACTATGCTCCAACATGGTGATTTTCAGGTTTACAAATCGTATTGCCTAGCGACATCGACATCCAGGACGGGCACGATTTGCTTCGACACTGACTTCCCATACTTGACACGGTCTCTGAGCTCAGCGGATTTACTGTTGGAAAGCAGTGCCACGTGGAGCAACATCGGTGCCTGGGACCTTGAAGCTGGAGAAATCCGGCAGACCATAAACATCAATAAACTACACTATGGGTGTGGCTCAGATAAAAAGGTACTGTAATTAGAAATAATTAAATCGGATGGTTTATACTAGACATGTACTAAAATCTGTCGTTCATAGGGCTGATTTTTTGACCCATACCTATATGAGCACCGACATGCACTGACCAAAACCTGCTTGAAGTGGATATTACCCTTTGGTAATCAAACATGGCTGGAAATCCGAATTTGATATAGGTGATTGTCCCAGCTATAAACCTCCATTTATAGTGACGTCACTGTAGAGAGGTTTTTCAATTGCCATGTTCGATTACCGTAGAGTACGGGGACTATACTATCCAAGAGAATGTCAATGTGGACTATTATTATAGGTTTATATTTGGTTATATTAAATGATATATGTATATATAATATAGATATAATATCACATCATATTATATCATTATTATATTTTCACCATATTATATAATTATATATATATACATTGTAATTTATTTTATTATATTACATTATATACATATTATTATAGTATTTATCATATTACATTATATTATATGATATTAAACCACAGTATGTCATATTATATCATATTGCATATATCAGTTTGTATTATATCATACCAGTAGTACCGCGCAAGGCGGTGGCGGAAGTTTCAAAAATAGGAAACCTATAGCAGAGATTGGTTGTTGTGAATCAGGGATGGCAGAGCGAAGCCACTGATGGACCGAAAGGTGCTTGATGTCTCCTCTCTTTCTCTCTCTTTCTCTGACTACCTACCTACCAACCTATCTTCTATGTATCTATCTATCTATCGATCTATCTCTCTCTCTCTCTCTTTCATCTAATTACCTATCTATCTATCTATCTATCTCTCTCTCTCTCTCTATCTCTCTCTCTCTCTTTCATCTGTCTATCCGTCTATCTGTCTATCTGTCTATCTGTCTATCTGTCTATCCGTCTATCTGTCTATCTGTCTATCTGTCTATCTGTCTATCTATCTATCTATCTGTCTATCTGTCTATCCGTCTATCTGTCTATCTGTCTACCTGTCTATCTGTGGTGCAGCGTCATTCAGTGTAATGTAGTGGAGTGTAGTGTAGTGGAGTGTAGTGGAATGTAGTGTAGTGTAGTGTAATGTAGTGTAGTGTAGCGGAGTGTAGTTGCGTAGTCGTAGTTGTATTTGTAGTGGAGTGTAGTGTAGTGTAATGTAGTGAAGTGTAGTGCAAGGTAGCGTAGTGTAGTGTAATGTAGTGTAGTGTAGTGGAGTGTAGTTGCGTAGTTGTATTTGTAGTGGAGTGTAGTGTAGTGTAATGTAGTGAAGTGTAGTGCAAGGTAGCGTAGTGTAGTGTAATGTAGTGTAGTGGAGTGTAGTGTAATGTAGTGTAGTGTAATTTAGTGTAGTGGAGTGTAGTGGAGTGTATTGTAGTAGAGTGTAGTTGTGTAGTTGTAGTTGTAGTAGTAGTTGTAGTGGAGTGTAGTGTAGTGTAATGTAGTGAAGTGTACTGTAGTGAAGTGGACTGGAAGGTAGTGTAGTGTAGTGTAGTGTAGTGTAGTGTAGCGTAGTGGAGCGTAGTGTAATGTAGTGTAGTGTAGTGTAATTAAGTGTAGTGGAGTGTAGTGGAGTGTAGTTGAAGTTGTAGTGTTGTGTAATGTAGTGTAGTGGAGTGTAGTAGTGTAGTGGAGTGTAGTGTAGTGTAGTGTAATGTAGTGTAGTGTAGTGAAGCGAAGCGAAGCGACATCTGAACCTCCAAAAGTGGTCCGAACCCCTGGTGTTTTTAACATTTTGACTTCGAAATGTGCTTCGCGCCACAACGGCGTGCACTTTTTCGAGATCTGAACTTCCAAAAGTGGTCCGAACCCCTGTGTTTTTAACATTTTGACTTCCAAATGTGCTTCGCGCCACAACGGCGTGCACTTTTTCAACATCTCAACTGCCAAAAGTGGTCCGGAGTTGGTGTGTTTTGTACATTTTGACTTGGACATGTGCTTTGCGCCACAACGGCGTGTAATTTTTCATCTCTCACCTGGCCAGCTGGCTCCGCACCCGCCGCTTTAGCGAGCCTACTTTTCGACCCTCCGGAGCCCTAAATCATTGGAAAAACACAGTGTTTCGCGACTTTCCTACCTTTTCTCGCATCTGCATCTTCTTTCTTCTAACTCTTTCTCTTCTACTCTTCTTTCTTCTAATCTTTCTCTTCTCTCTGCCTCTTCCCTGCTCTGCTTTTCATCTGTCCATATTGTCGGAGGTTTGACTTCTAAACTTCCTTCGATTATATTGTAGTTTATTGTATTGTATCATATGTTTATTTTTTATTATATATATATATGTATAATTATTATTTCTATTATAGTTCAGTTCATCAAAAAATATTATGACATATTATCTTTAATTATGTTTTATTGGATTCTGTTTTGATTTTAAAATTATGTTATGTTATAGTATTGTATTTTATTTTTACATTACATATGTAGCGCACAAAATGGTAATCCGGTTCTCAGCCAACCACCATAAAGGGATCACATTTCAGGTTTTGAGCGCTGCCATATAGAAGTGGATAGCCCAATAATGGAATTGGTACATGTTGTAGTTGGGTACTTACTCGGTGTATAAACTGTGACGATTGCTAGTAATGTTGTGTATTTGTATTAGTCAACTATTCGACGATTGAGAAGAGAATACGGGGGTCTGGTCAACCGTCCCAATTAGAATGCACAAAGGTGGCGATCCGTATCCCACAATCATCCGTTTTGTAGGGGGCATACCCAATTCCATAAAGCCGAATGGGGAACTGTTTATTATTGGGTTTAAAACATACACTGAATCGTAGAAGTGACGTCCTGAGGTAGTTGGCTGCCCAAATTTTGGTGATCTTCGCCAGCCTCCCAGAGATCTCATAATGTGGGTAACCCAATGCCAGAAACCTACCATTTGGGGATGGTTCATAGCACCCGCAAAGATAGTGATTTTATGTGATTTTAGGATATATATATATTGGAGCTGGTTTATCATTGGTTTCACCACATTGTCACTCTTGGTGTCATATTATTCCCTTCTGTTTTTTCCCCGAGCAGTGGCCGTTTCACACAGGACCCATGGATTGATTGCTGATCCACGGTTTTGCGTTCAGCAAGTCCCGATTTAGTCAGTTCGATGATTTGTCCATTGAAATATATTGGGTATGGGTCAAATTTCAGGATAAAACCACAGATTGTTTAGATTATTGAAGTCTGAGTTTTTTGTTTTTTTTCAGCACCCAAGAATTGGGGTACTGTTGACCCACACCCGTTATATGTCAAAAATGGTTAGGCCTGGGATTTGCGAGCGCGATTTCTGTTGGGGATCAAGTCACCTGGTGAAGTTGGAAATCCCCAGGGACCAGAGATTTTAGGACCTTTTAGGATTTATGTTTGGCAGGTCGTTTAATGTCAACCATCTAAAAACATCCAGTTATTGGAAAACCCAATGACTTGACCCTACCATCTTTCGTGCAGAAAACATGTTTAAAGGTCAGCAACATCTGCGCGGCCATCAGCATCTCGGAGAAGCAAAATGGTAGGTTGACTTACACGAATGGACCCAGTTGTGCTTGTTGGTTTATACTTTTATCATTGTTTTGTTTGTTTTTTAATCTAGAAATGTCACCCAGATTTGTTAGACTACTATGGTCATCTAGCTGAAATATAACCACTGGAATCGTCGACGTCATTGTAAACGGTACCCTTTGGGAATCATATCGTCCCCAAATGACGACGCGTTTTTGGTGAGTGAATTGTTTGGATTCAGCCAGAATCTAAAGTTGACAACCAACAATATGTTGTGTGTTTTGTTTGCGCTAAACCAACAAGCAATTCCCGTCAAGTTTATGGGTGTTCCACCTAGAGATATTTCAGATGAAGGAGCCTGATCGTTAGTGACACAAAAATGGCAATCAGATGCAGAATTCTGAGATTCTTCAGGTTTGGTTTGGTCATGTTTCGTCAATTTAGGTATCAGAAATGGAATAGGGTTTATGTTCAGGGGGTTCACATGGGTTCACAGAGGAGTTCCTTTTCAACCAAGTTGAGTTCTGCCTAATCTGGTTGAAGCTCTTAGCCAATTCTAAATGTAATCAATGTAGGTCAGCACAGCTCAACACTGGGAAGTGATGACTGCGTGTAGTCAAGTCAACAACTGTAATGACAAATTGTTATGTCAAGTGGTTTAAACCATGTGAGCCCTCAAAAACACCGCTGTTGGTTTTTATACGAGGTTATACTACCTGGTTTTTTGGGAGATTAGTACCTACAGAGGATGTTTGTCATTGTTTTTCATGCAATGCTTGGCGTCAATGAAAATGCTGAATGCTTTCCTGGCCCTTTTGCGTCAGAATCCCCAATGGTTTGCAACACAGCACTAATGTAGCCGAATGCAGGCCTAACTGTGGGGTTCAAAAATAGTGACCCAGGGTTATTGTTGCATTAGTTGGGATACTATGTGAAAGAGTAAAAAAGAAATAACATATGTAGATAGATATATATACATATATATATATATAATATGTATAATATATACATATATATTTATATATATGCATGTGTGGCTCCGCTGATACCCTATTTTCGAGCCACCCAAGACCTGTTTTTTGACATCATCCGCAAGGTATGCTGCCGTGGAGAATGGACAGACCCTGGTGATGCTTGGTGCATGGCCCTCCACCGAGTTATCAAAACGATATGGAAGTCCATGGTTGTTTCAACCAAGGGCAACTCAATCCTTCAGTGCAAGTTTTCCAATATGTTCATTTACTGGAGAATAAGATATCATATTATATATATATACATGTGCTATGGCACGGTTTACATTGTAGACAAATGGGAATTGGAGAGTGAAAATTATCATTTTCAGGGCAGAATTTTGGTCCCCACTCTCAGGAAGTGTACATATAACGGCTACACGGGAGCCATCAGTCCACATGGGACACTTGGCAAAAACCCTGAGAGGGTGTGGCAGGGGCCAAATCACTAGAACGTATTTTTAGCTGGCAGATTGGTTTTGACAGATGTGGATGTTTGGTTTGTGGTTTGAATGTGCGAAGCCAATGTCGTTTAGCACAGACATTTGCTTGGTTTGTTTTGTGGCTGGGAACACAACATTTGTCTAGCCACGAGTCAAATGTGCTAATCATCTCAAGCCTATCACCTTTTGTATTATATATATATACATTTATAACTGTAAAAATATAGAACTATATATACATATATATATTTAACTATATATATACAGATAACTATATATTTTTTATGGCTATAAATATACGACTATATATATACATAATTATATATATATTACTATATATATATGACTATATATATGACTATAAATATATATATAACTATATATATATATATATAACTATATATATAAAACTATATATATATATAACAATATATATATATAACTATATATATATACAACTATATATATAACTCTATATATATATATATATATTTAACTGTACATATAACTATAATTATGTATATATATATAACTATATATATAACTTTATATATATAACTATATATATAGAACTATATATAACTATATTTATACAACTATATATATAACTATAAATAAAACTTATAATTTAAGTATATATTTCAACATATTTCTATCACTATATATATATAACTATATATATATATTTAACTGTACATATAACTATTTGTATATATCTATATATACACATGCATTGCTTAAACATACTGACTGAATTGATTGAATCATTATTTGGTGTGAGTGATTGCAAGCATGTGCGAACGGCCAAACTGGATTGCCGAAGAATCATTGTGACCAAATTTCTCGAACAGATTGCAAGTCCCTGTAGCCTCCAATTGTTCAGCGGAAGAATTAGATATGCAACATCTAACAGCGTTGCTCCCCAGTAACCAGTACATGTGATAGGATGCGATAGGCACAAGACAAGGCAGACAAAGGTGGAAAATTCTATGTTTACCTTACCCCCTTCCCCCCACCGTGGGTGACCTTGGGAGCAATGTGGGTGTCCTCCAAGGGCCATCGTGTACCAAGTGCCACAGACCACTGGTGTGGTATCTTTCCAGCTACCACAATATCCCAAGTTGACGGTCTTCCCCATGTGTCGCGGCAGCAGACAAGTCTGTCATCAGTGGCGTAACTTTCAGATCGGTGGAAAATGTGGAATAGCTTCGAATAGGCACATGCTTTATATACTTGGATTGTGGAGCCAGATTTCAACGTCATTTGTCATTTACTTGGTGGTCTTGGTGATTCAAAATTTCTTGGGAATATTTTTTGAATTGTGCTTATTGTTCAGTCCTGGAATGATGATCTCTCCATGAACTTCACGTGCTTTACGCGGGAACCCGGGTGTGTTCTCCACCAGTCACTTCGTTTATCAGGCTTTACATGGTCTTCGAGGGTATAGTAGGTGCGTCCTCTTGGGGAGGCCTCTGAGGATTGGAACGATATGATTATCCAAGTGGGTCCTTGAATTTCTTGAGTCGGTGAGTTTTATTTAATCCACTATTTGGGGAATGTAATGAGACTATGTTCTTTTTGTGGGGCCATATTAAGCAATTCAGGAATATAGTCTTGGACACGTCAAATATGTCTGAGTTATGATGGTCAAAGTGTTTGGGACAATTGGTAACCCTAGAAATCAATTGTGATCGCCAAGAGATCTTTGAGTTTCTTCCGTGCCCCATACTATCTATGGCATCTATGGGTGGCTAATTTGCCTGCATTAATGGGCCATGTTTGGGGTACAAGTATATAGGGTACTCCATAGTACTCCCAAAACAGAAAACACATACGCCACTATGTTAGAATCAGACTTTACTAAGCGTTATTTTGTTGGGGGTTGCTATGGGTTGCTATAATACATCCCCATGATTCCCCATGTTCCCACAGGACTTGCTGCGTGCGTTTGGATCTTGTTAGCCTGTTCGCCGCAGCTGAGCACTCGATGGTCGCTTAGCGTGGGGAAGATGAGGAGAACTGGTGGTTTCAGTAACCATGGTCAAAACATAGGGGTCTGGTCATACCCCAGGAATAGTCGTTGTTATGTTTTTTTTTTAATATATAAGGATTTCCTAATGATGATGGGATGCGCCATGTACCAATATGTGCCATGTTTTGGCCATGGTACATGTGGATTTAAGCGTCAAACATAGGCATTCAACAAGCCACATGGTGATTTGTACCAGTAGTACCCGCACCTGGCGGGGCGGAAGTTGCTTTAGGGTTATACTATAAGACCTTTCTCATCTATAGAACTTGCATGCGCCGTGCGCCAGCCAGGCCCGTGCGTGCGTGCTTTGTGCGACGCTGCTGCGGTGTTGTTACCATTGTTGTCCAAGAACATGACCTGCGCGCGACCCCGGCGCAATGCAACGAAAAGCGAACACTTTCTTCACACTTCACGCTGCACTCTTCACACTTCACACTTGCACTTCACACTCCACACTTCATCTCATCTCACCTCATCTCAGCTCTTCTCACCTCATCTCACTTCATCTCACCTCTTATCATCTCATCCCATCTCTTCTCACATGTCATCTAAGTAAGTTCTTCTCAGCTGTTCTCACCTCATCCGAGCACTGATCAGCGTATCTCCTCGAAGTTCTTCTCCACTCATCTCAGCTGTTCTGCACAACAGACAGCTCTTACTCTCAGAGAGAAGTCCCTTGCACAAAAAAACATTGGGCGCAGAAGGCTTTTGCACACAGAAGCTTGAGACACAGGTGCATTTCCACAGAAAAGCCTTTCAAACATACTTTGTAATACAAAGCTTGCACAAAGCACTTCCCAGTACTACTTTGTACTACAAAGTACTTCCCAGTACCACTTTGCACTACAAAGCTTGAAGAAAGTACTTCCCCGTACTATACGGAGCTTGCACAAAGAACGTCCCAGTAATACTTTGTACTACAATGCTTGCACAAAGCACTTCCTACTACAAAGCTTGCACAAACCACTTCCCACTACTACTTTGTGCTGCAAAGCTTGCGCAAAGTACATCCCGGTACTACTCGGTACTACAAGGCTTGCACAAAGCACATCCCACAACTACTTTGTATTACAAAGCTTGCACAAAGCACTTCCGAGTACTACTTTGTACTACATAGCTTGCTCAAAAAACGTCCCAGTACTACTTTGCACTACAAAGCTTGCACAAAGTACTTCCCAGTATTTCTTTGAACTACAAGGCTTACACAAAGTACGTCCCAGTACTTCTTTGTACTACAAAGCTTGCACAAAGCACGTCCCAGCACTACTTTGTACTACAAAGCTTGCACAAAACACGTCCCAGTACTTCTTTGTACTACAAAGCTTGCACAAAGCACGTCCCAGTACTACTTTGTACTACAAAGCTTGCACAAAGCTACTTTGTACCACAAAACTCTCACAGGGCAGGTCCCACTACTACTTTTTACTACAAGACATGCACAAAATACTTCCCAGTACTACTTTGTACTACAAATCTTGCCCAAAGCAAGTCCCACTACTGCACAAAGTTCTTGCCAGTACCGCTTTGTACTACAAAACTTGCACAAACCACTTCCCACGACTACTTTGTACTACAAAGCTTGCACAAAGTACGTCCCAGTACTACTTTGTACTACAAAGCTTGCACAAAGCACGTCGCACGACCACTTTGTACTACAAAACTCTCACAGGGCGCGTCCCAGTACTACTTTGTACTACAAGACTTGCACAAAGCACTTCCCAGTACTACTTTGTACTACAAACCTTGCACAAAGCACGCCCCAGGACTACTTTGTGCCACGCTTGCCCACAGCACGTCCCAGTACTACTTTGTACTACAAACCTTGCACAAAGCACGTCCCAGAACTACTTTGTACTACAAAGCTTGCAAATGTCAACAGAACGTGACAAAAATCATGCAGCCATTACACTGCGATCTGCAACCAAAGATTCAACAAGCGCAAAGACCTACGCACAACCACTCATTGCAGAACACAGAGGAGGAACCGATTGCCCATCGTCACGATCGGACCCGCAACCGCCGCACACACACACACGAGCTGCTCATCATCGCCGGCTGCATCCACTTCACACGGAAAAACACAAGGTTTCGTGCTCTGGCTTTCTCCCCAACACGAGTCCTATGCAACATCCGTGCAACCACACTAGAATGCATTTTGCAGCGCCATGTTACAAACGCGCATGTATATATGCACATGGCAACAAAACATGACAACAATCATGCAGCCATTACAATGCGATCAGCAACCACAGCCTCCAAAACACCTTAGAACTACGCACACGGGACGAACCAAGCATTGCAAAACATCATCAAGGAACCACTCACGCACCAAAACGAACGGACCGCACCCGCCACGCACACGAGGTACCTTTCATCGCTGGCCGAAGCCACTTTATACTGAAAAACACAAGGTTTCGTGCTCCGGCTTCCTCCCCACCCTTCATGAATGTATTGGTATGTGATGTAAAGTCTCACACCGCCCTTTGTGAATGTATGGATATGCGATGTAACTCACAGCGCCCTTCATGAATGTATTGTTATGTGATGTAAAGTTTCACACCACACTTCATTGAGTAAAAATCATCCGTAACTCGGAAAATTGTCTCCCAACTTCCTTTGATTACCCACAAACGGATTACTTTGTTTGGAAATGGGGTATCCCGGCAAACTTGCATTTTACTAGCGGAAGTAATGATAAACCATGGGATTTGGGGTAGAAATAACCTTATTTAATATGATATTATATATATATATTATGGCAAGTGTGGCTTATTAAGGTTTATTCAAATGAGATTTCACATCCCGAGATTTCCACTAAAGTTTGTGAAGAAGAACGAAAACACGATAAAACATGCATATAAAAGCATATAAAGTAGGAATCTCGGGATCTCTCCAAAGCACCCCAACTTGGGATTCCTTACCATAGGTAAATCATGGTGAACTGTTCAGTAGCCGTGTGATAGGCAACATTAAGCAAACTAGTTCAGTTAAAGCCCTTTCCCAGTTATAAATAGAGTTAATTTTAATTATAACATAATATACCTAGCTTATAACTGGTACAGGGTCATAACTTCATAAGTGTACGAACTGTAATTCACTTCTGACTCGCCGGCTGGAAAACTCAGGTTGGGTCGATGCCACTTGCTCCCAGAACAACTTGGGGACGAGTGGGAGGTCCCACAAGAAGAACGACCCCGAAATGCCACATAAATCGTAGCTGTGATTGCACATTTTCATTGAGAAAATGCATGTTAAGTCACCCATCGTTCTCATTGGCCATATTTGAGGACATGTTTGGCCCCAAAAAAAATGACAATGATCAAACTCCCCCCTATGAAGTGACATGGCATCGTTCTCTCGCACAAGAGGCAATCGTTCTCACGAGAGCAATCGTTCTCACCAGAAATTCCTCAGTGGAATTCGCAGAACAGTTTCACCCCAAAAAAGTGAGAAGGAGGATTTTTGAGAAGAATAGGTCGTGTTGCATTTTTCAGGGGAGTCTAAAACAACTTTGCGCATTTTTCTCGAACAATCGTTCTTTAAAGCATCGTTCTTCTCGAAAATCTGCGTGCAAAAACGGACAAACAGAAAACCAGCAGTTAGTGTTGAGGAGTTGACATCTGGGGTGGGAGGATAATGGGGACTATGGGCTGGTGAAACAAAAGTGAACCTCTGCAGTTTCTTTGGGCAAGGTCAGTATCCCGCGAGTAAGACTGTTGAAAGCATTTGACACCATAAGACTTTGGATTTCAATGTTTGATTAAAAAACAGAAGTTGAAACAGCTATTCGGAATGGACAGGGTTGGATTAGAATATTAAAAAAATTGCCCCGATGCGCGTTGCTCAGAGTTTGTTGTTTCATATGTTTTTTTTTTTGGGGGGGGCCAGCTAGCATCAGGATTTTTTTTGGTTGATATTAGATCATAATTTTTGAAATAACCATTTTCGGGGTATCCACTATCCACCTATTTGGGACAGAATCATGTATGTGACGCATGCGTACAAATTAATTATTTACATATATATATATATATTAACACTTGCATAATAAAACACATACGAATAGACCTTCAGAAGTTCATCCACATACAGAAGTTCCGTTGCTTCCAGTGAGGCCATTTTTTTCCCGAATGAAACTGTTCTGTTGGGAACAATCAACTCATAGTGGGATATATAACCCACAAAGTTGTGCAGATTTATAACCAACCATTTTATTGGGATCTTGAGGGAAGTAAAACCAACTTGACATGATACGTGGGATCGGTACCTGATTTGTTTATCTTCGTTACAAAAGATATATAATTCGAATGAAGATTACGAGTCCATTTCATGGCAAAATATGATAAAATATGTGGATCTGATCTTGGGGATCTTGGGAACAATGCCCGAAATTGCCCTCAATATTTCTGGAACATCGAAAATATGCCTCTGGTAAATGTTCAATGTTCCTATTGGGTAAATTTTCTGGAAGGTCTATATTTCAATAGGAACATCGCAAGGAACTGGGTCAGTGGACTCCTCCGTCCCAAGGCCTCGCAGTCATAGCAAGGAGGTGGGAGTCATTTCTGGGGACTTGTTAGGTCATCGACGTTCCCAAGTTGTTTGTCATTCCAAATATGGTGATTTAAGATGATTTAAAATATATTCATATATGAATATGTACATGCGATATCATGAGATATCATGAGATAAGATTTAAAGCCATGCGGGGTGTGTGCAATCCGGCAAGCCAAGGATGAGGACGCATAGACCCTTTGTTGTGGACGAGTTGAGAAGGGTATAGGGGGGGGGGTCCTAAAATCGGGATAAATTGGCGTACCCCCAAATCATCCACTTTAATAGTATTTTCCATTATAAACGATCCAGCTATTGGGGTACCCCCATTCATGGAAACCTCCATATCTAGGTGTTCATGATTTTTCATGCGCAGGCTTTGATAGACAACCTACCCTGATGCTGATCAACAGCCTGCCCAGCAATTACCCCACGAAGTTTAGCTCTGTTGTACAAGTTCCTACCCCACAGGTAATTTAACATAATAGTTGCTCGTTCGAGTGGGAAAATGTCATTATATAAAGAATGGGAACATTATAACATAATAGTTGCCCATCCTGCCAACACTCAACCAGGGATTTATTATCCCAGCAAATCGGTGATAGCTGGCTTTTCACGACTGTGCTGGACGAATCCATGATTGAGATGACAATTCCCAACCCTCAAGCATTGGATTGCCTCGTTGTTGATTCTTTTGAATAGATTTTTCGATTATTTAACATAGCTATGGAAGAAGGAACACCATTTTAGTCTGGTAAATCATCAAACCAAATGGGTCATTTAAGTACCATAGCCCATAGCTGTGTTAGATTAACAGATGGTACATGATTCGTCCTGCATACATCCCATTTGGAAACTCACTGAGATGTCTGAAAAAATATTCAGTAAGGGCAATCATCCCTTAGAATCACCCTGTTAGGTTGGTGAAATGTTGCATCATGGTATTATTATCCTAACAGCAAATATATATAATTATATATATATAACTATAAGGGAAACATATGGGGACATCATATACCTTTTTGTTTATATTGGTATAATCATCTCCATATTGACCTTACTTCGTCATATATATATATATATATCATCATATCCTCCAGGAAATCAACATGGAAATGAGACAAATCACATGGTTTTCCTGGGACATAGCAATGTGAATTCTCCAAGTTTTCTTGGCAGGTCATCGGCAGGCCCAAAGTTTCAGGCCTGGTCCGGGTGAATTAGTGATAACTGAGGCATTGTATGTTGGTCTACTACAATGAAGCCGATTAACATACTGCATTCACTATGAGTAATGCAACAGCAATATCTATGAGTCAATTATTTCCATCATCTTTAAACTTCTGAGCTGTCCTCCAACACAATCTAATAATCCAAAAACAATGATAATAATAATCATATATAACTTATATAACAGCAATAATACCATGAACATTTACGACAAATGAACCTCTGTAGGCAGCTATTTTAAATCTTCACCAGCCAGGGTGTTGATCCATAGGCTCCATAGGTTCCAGGTTCCACCAGCAGCTCCAAGGAGAAAACTTTAAAACACATACCATTTGGTTATGACTAACATAGCCATGGAAATCACCATTTTTACATATTTTTACTAGGTAAACCATCTATTTCTATGGGTCATTTTTCATGGCTATGTTAAATACCCAGAGGGTATCTACCAGGTTGAATCTACGCATGACTGAGAGAAGCCCGTGCTTTTGGTGGCAAACATGGTATTCTGCATCTCCACTCTAGTGCTTTCATCTAGCTGAGCCTGCTGAGCCCTGAACCTGATGATTGGCTAGTGGGTCTTATATACCCTCTGGTAAACTAACATAGCTATGGAAAATCACTATTTTTAATGGGTAAATCCACTATAAATGGCCATTTTCAATAGCTATTTTGACATAACCAGAGGGTAACTAATTGTAGCCCATTGCAAGTCCCAAAAAATATCAGCTATGACATGGAGGTGTCGTGGATGACCATGACGACTGGTATAGGTTAACCCATGGTGACGGCTGGGCATCCCCCAAACATATGGCTCAAAATATGCTACAGTAGCTCCATTTTAGGGTCCTGAAATGTCCACTGATGATATAAATCTTATAAATCTTGATTATGTCTTAGCCTTTTTGGGATTAGATATTCCATCTATGTTCTTCAAATTCACATATATGCTGGTCGAGTAATAATAATAATAATGGGGTTGGTTGAATAGCCATGTCTTGGGCCAAACACCCCCGAAATAGATTGATTAGATACCTTGCATGGTTGCGTCGAACATCCATGATCTTCTTGCTTACATGACACCTTATTACAAGTTACAGTAGTTACCCAGTGTTTAAGCTTGTTGGTTAAATTGTCCAGTGGGCTACAACCCCGTGTTTGTTGGTCAAAAACTAATTTTAACTACCCAATGTGTGCTAAATTTGAGTATGGCATATGTAGCTAATGTAGCTAAACAAAAACTCTAACAGTATCTAACAGTTATATATTATTATATATATTTTTTTTAGATGTTCAACCCCTAAGAACTGTTGTTGTTGGTGAAATCTCCCTATCGCTGTGTCGCTAGGCCTTGAGCTGCGTCCGCTGCCCAGCCTCCAAAGCCTTCCGCGGAGGTGGTGCCCCAGTTCGTTAGCTAAGTTGGTGCACATAACTCCCATTTCACTATGGTTTATGGCAGATATAACGAACTAGTTAATGGGGATTATAAGCCGACTTATAACTGGGGGGCACCATCCTGTGGTTTAATGGGGATTTAATGGGGGATTTCATGGTAGTTTAATGGTGATTTAATTGGGTTTTCATGGACATTTATGATAACCAATGGTGATATATTTATATATATATATATTTGATATAGTGGGGATATGATTGGGATAGTGATGGTTGATGATTGAATGGGGGTTGAATGGGGATTGAATGGGGATTGAATGGGATAATTATAGAGCCGAGATGAATCGAGAATCTGATCATATCTGATCTTTGGGTGATGTTGGTGTGGATTGTTAGTGGGGATGTAATTACAATCACCAGGCTGTAAAATGGGGATAAGGAAAATGAAGACGAACTATCAAATTTGTGGCTACCCTATTCTGAGACAAATCCAAAAATCCTATTGATGTTGAATCGTATGTGAGATCTTTGAAGTCTGAGTCTTTATCGTCATGTCATTCGTTCCTTAGACGTGGTTGTATAGTTTAGTTGTAGTTCAACTAGGTTCCGTGCCACAGACGGTAGTGTGGAATTGTTGCCGATGTCAAAATCACAAAATAAGGTTTGTTGGATGAGTCCATGTATTTGACAGTAGAATTTCAGCCATCAGCATTATTTTAGTAGCAGGATCGTTTGAAAATCATGTCAAGTTTGTCATGTTGGGAATTTCAATCATCTAGCAAATTGTTCATTGATGACATAATATATTATATTTATTCAATTATTTCCAGGCTTTTGTTTGGATTCTATATCCCAATGGTGCAGCCAGCTGAAAATTACTAGGAAGTAATGTTTACTTGGATGGAAGAGTGCAGTATCTTACAGTGATTTATAATGATTTCGAAGCTCCTACAGACAGAAGAAGATCACTATGTTTGGCAGCCCGCATGTATTGATCAACCATAATTAGCTGAATAAGTTGTAGAAACATGGCCCGACAGGCTTGAAGTATGGGACGATTTCATGGCGTTATGAAAACATGTCCAAGTATCCAGATAGCATGGTAGATTCCTCTCAAAAATGAAACACATGTTCCCCTGTACAAAGCCACTCTAGGAAGATACACTTGTCTATTGAGATGAAATTGTTCGTGGATTGCAGATGCATACTTTGATTATCCAGATAATCAACCATATTGTCATACATTGTCTATGAGTCCATAATATTGATTGTAAACATATATACTGTAAAATATTATATAATATGTTTAAGGGATTTATCAAAATAGTAAGAATCTGTAATTTCCTTGACCATTTGGATAATATGATAATATGACAATGATTCAGTTGCCATTATCATAATTCCGTGCATGCACCGTTCCAGAATTGAGATGGCAATCTACACAAGGTGGTGCCCCCTAGTGATCAGTTGGTTTATCACTTTTAATCCATCGAACTAGAATTACAATGACCATAAATCCCCTTTAACTTATAGTTTGTTCAACCAAGTTAGCTACCTATGGTGCACCACCTTGTATGTAAACAAGAACATAAATATATATATATAATTATGTATATATACAAAATGATATATATATATATATACACATAAAAAGTGTGTATATATATGATATGATATGTAAATAATGTATGAACGATCAAGGGATCATTTCTTTCTCTGTCGCCCTTTGTGCATCGCGCTGCCAGCCGCCAGGATCTTGCCTCGCTGCTCCGGATCTTCGCTGGAGTATGACATACGCTCGGAGGCGGGAGCTGGGAGCTGTGTAGGATGCTGCCCCCGTTCGATAGCTAAGTTGACATATAAGTGGCTGAATTCTATGATATTCTATGGTTTATGGTAGATATTTCATGAAAACTATAGAGAACTATAGTAAATGGGGTTTATAAACCTAACTGTAGAGGATTTGGTGTTTACCCTTTGGTAAACTAACAGTGTGCGAACTGGAAAACCACATTTTTTTAAATAGGTCAATCAACGAACTAAATGCGCCATTTTCAATAGCTATGTCAAATTACCAGAGAATTATCATGTTTTTTTCATGAGATAATTATGGATTCTATAAGGATGATAGTGGGTTGATTGAAATTATATGATGAATCATTCCGAACATGGATACTCTTGGGATGATCATGAGAAACCCATCCCCGGTGTTTTTTTTGGGTATCTTTCCCCACACGTGGCAAATCATGAGCCAAATAACCGTCATTGTTCGGGTTGAATCTGGATGAACATGATATGTACAAACATAGGAAGAAACAAATTGTTCGAATATGTGCTTCAATGGAGATGTCACCAGTGCAGACCAAACCTTTAAATATTTGGAAATGTTCAACAAGTGCCCCCCATTTGGAGTCATCCACACTGACAACTGTGGAGAGTTTTGTAGGGTGAAGCGAACTGGTTGGGTGCAAGATCCAAATATTATATTTTTTTCAGGATTTTGGCACATAAAGCGACTTTAAATCTCTCGATTGCAACGTTTCATCTCACTAAAAAGTGACAAAGAAAACAATATTCAACAGGTCAGGCTCAACTAAACTGCAACTTAATCTTACAGGTCACTGAGTCCTTGTTGTAAGAAACAGTTTTTCTTGGCGAATGCCGAAAGTGAATACAAACTAAGGATCTAGATTCTAAGTTTGGGGTTGACCGTGGATACCAGCGAAAAACATGTGTGATGTTGTATGAAAAACCAGCCAAGATGGGATTTTGGTAGCTCTTCAGCACCACTTCAGGAATTTAGATTATAACCGGTTCTTTGCTCCTTTCGTTTTTGAAGGAGCGGGAGGCGGAACGCCCCCACTTGCGGCAGGGTGCCCTAAGTGACAACTGATGATGGCGAGCAGTGAACAGGTTTTAGTTTGACAAAAAAAATGCAGATTTTTCAATGATTTGAGGCACGCAAATGAAAATGGGATTTCATACCTGAGCAATCCTGAGCATACTTTTTTTTTACAAGCTTCACAGGTTGGGCTGACGACTGTGATGACTGTGCTTACGACATGACATTTGTGAGCATGTAGTAGGATGATAGTTGAAGTTACTTGAATGGTAAATTGGTAAGTGGGGCATAAACCAATCACTTCCGAACATGATTGGTTATACCACACCTCATTTCATCATTCGACTAACTGACTGGGACCATCCCGTTTGACGAAGGATTCCGAAGAGATCTGTCTTTGTCCCCAATGTCTTCCCGCAGCTTCGAAACCTTTCGAGTCCTGGAAAATCGATGTCGTTGTTGGCTTCATGGTCCAGAAGACCAGCACAGATGCCCCAAGTAGTCCATAGACCTGGAAGCAAGGCGCACAAACCTCTGTTTGCCCAGTGTTTCTATCTGTGGACACCATGAATTAGTAGTTGTAATTCGGGCAATGCCCCCAATCTACGCGGGTTACAAGCCCCACAGCTGAGGTATGTGGAACCTCTTCACCTAGGCGTGGGATCGCGCTGCTTTCAGGACACCAACATGAAAATTGTTTCATTCCAAAGTCTCAATGGGAGAAAAACATCTAAAGACATATTTTATATATATATATAGATATATATTAGCATGTCGCTCTAGCACGTTTTTGAGGGGTCTCTTTAGAGCCTATGTCTGCCTCCATTTTCTGCATTACTGCTCCCTTAACTTTCTCCATTTTCTGCATTACTGCTCCCTTAACTTTCTCCATCAAGTCAAGGGCAAAGTCTGGGACCGTAAGCTACCAGTAGTACCGCACAAGGCGGTGGCGGAAGTTTCAAAAATAGGAAACCTATAGGAGAGGTTGGTTGTTGTGAATCAGGGATGGCAGAGCGAATCCACTGATGGACCGAAAGGTGCTTGAGGTCTCCTCTCTTTTGCTCTCTTTCTCTGACTATCTACCTACCTACCTACCTACCTATCTATCTTCCTTCTATCTATCTATCTATCTATCTATCTATCTCTCTCTTTTTCCTCTAATTACCTATCTAGTTACCTATCTATCTATCTATCTATCGATCTATCTATCTATCTATCTATCTATCTCTCTATCTATCTCTCTCTCTATCTATCTATCTATCTATCTCTCTATCTATCTATCTATCTATCTATCTATCTATCTATCTATCTACCTACCTACCTATCTATCTATCTATCTATCTATCTATCTCTCTTTCTATCTATCTATCTATCTATCTATTTATCCATCTATCTACCTATCTATCAATCTACCTCTCTCTCTCTATCTATCTATCTATCTATCTATCTATCTCTCTCTCTCTTTATCTATCCATCTATCTATCTATCTATCTATCCATCCATCCATCTATCTATCTATCTATCTATCATCCATCTATCTATCTTTCTATCTACAGTATCTATCTATCGCTCTCTCTCTCTCTATCTATCTATCTATCTATCTATCTCTCCATCTATCGATCTATTGTTGTTGTAGTTGTAGTTGTTGTGGTTGGTGTTGTTGTTGTTGGTGTTGTTGTTGTTGTTGTTGTTGTTGCTGTTGCTGTTGCTGTTGCTGTTGTCGTCGAGGTTAGGGTAGTTAAGTTAGTGAAGTTAGTTAAGTTAGTCAAGTTAGGTAAGTTAATCAGTGTCTACTTTTTCAACATCTTCACGTCAAAAAAGGCTCAAAACCCTCAGTTTTTTACACTTTTGACTTCGAAATGTGCTTCGCGCCACAACGGCGTGCACTTTTTCGACACGTTTTCGACATCCAAACCTCCAAAAGTGGTCCAAGACCGTCAGTTTTTTACACTTTTGACTTGGAAATGTGCTTCGCGCCACAACGGCCTGCACTTTTTTGACATCTCAACTTCCAAAAGTGGTCCGACGCTGAGGTGTTTTGTACATTCTGACTTGGAAATGTGCTTCGCGCCACAATGGCGTGCAATTTTTCATCTCTCATCTGGCCAGCTAGCTCCGCACCCGCCGCTTTAGCGAGCCTACTTTTCGACTCTCCGGAGCCACAAATCATTGGAGAAACACAGTGAATCGCGACTTTCCTACCTTTTCGCGCATCTGTATCTTCTGTCCTCTTACTCTTTCTCTTCTACTCTTCTCTCTTCTAATCTTTCTCTTCTCTCTGCCTCTGCCCTACTCTGCTTTTCATCTGTCCATATTGTCGGAAGTTTGACTTCTAAACTTCCTTCGACCAAAGCCAAAATGCTATGCCGAATTTGGTGAAATGATTTCGAGTCCCCAAATTGGCCTCCAAATTGGCCTCCAAATTGGCCCCCAGGGGCCCCATTACTGCTCCCTTAACTCCCCCCAGTTAAGGGAGCAGTAATGGACAAAGTTAAGGGAACAGTAATGGAAAATTAAGGGAACAGTAATGGAAAGTTAAGGGAGCAGTAACGGAAAGTTAAGGGAGCAGTAATGGAAAGTTAAGGGAGCAGTAATGGAAAGTTAAGGGAGCAGTTAAGGGAGCAGTAATGGAAAGTTAAGGGAACAGTAATGGAAAGTTAAGGGAACAGTAATGGAAAGTTAAGGGAGCAGTAATGGCAAGTTAAGGGAACAGTTAAGGGAGCAGTAATGGAAAATTAAGGGAACAGTAATGGATAAAGAAAACGTGTTAGAGTAACATCCTAATATAATATATATATATATATATTATATTATAATATTTTATATTATATTATATGCAATATAATATATATATTTATTTAAATATATTGTATTATTTATAGTATAACATATATATATAATTATATTATATATAATTATATTATATTAAATTATATTATATTATATTTTATTTTTATTATTTTATTTTATTTTATATTATATCAAATCATATTTTATGTTAAGACATTATATTTTATTATTATTATATTTTATTTTGTGATATTTTATAATATTTTATTATATTTTACTTTTTGATATTTCATGGTATTATATTATATTATATTATATTATATTTTATTATATTTTAATATATTATAATATATTATATGTTTTATTTTATTCTAATAATCTATTATAATATATATATATTTACAGAATTATGACGGTGCGTTTGAATCATGTTCAATCCATAATGTTAATGGGTAAATCTAAACACTTAAGATTTCCATGCAAAAATGGTAGAAGATCAGCACGCCCCCTTTGGATGTCCTCTTCGGATCCACAATTGCACCTCAATGATCAGCGATTTAATCGTTTACCTCTCAATGAACAGGTATAAGTGTTGAAATAGTTTATTTAAGCAATCGAATGAGGCTGAAATCATCAAACTTGGTACTTGAGAATCTGTTGAAGGTTTATAAATGAGTCTGACATTTTCTCTGAAATTATCAAGTTTAGCGCTTAGTACTTAAGAATCTACATTCAATACCATCCGGTGTCATCAAACGTGGGTGGCTGGACATTCCCTGAACTAGCCTTGGAGTGTTAGTTTGCTGGGAAAATGAACAAACTAAATGGATCTAGGGTATACTCACTGAATCCCATGGAATATCCCATTGAATCACAGTAGTGAATAATATTGAATATGTATAAAACAAATCAATAGTTTCAATAAATCATCAAGCGGAGGTTTAAAGCTGGGAAAATAACCAACTAAATGGATCTATTTTCATTCACGCAATTTAACTCTCATTCGCAATGAATCATATGTTTTAGTGGTTTCCATTAACACACTCAAAATCCCATCATTCACAACATTCAACAACTAATGGAAAACACCGTATATCAGATTAACCTGTTTTTCGGCCATGAGGGTTCAATCCTCCAGGCCATGGCCCTGCAGCAGCATGGGGCACCTGTGGTGAGAAGGCCGGCAGGGCGCGATTTGCAATGCTGCATTCACGGAATAAGTTGGGATTTTACTATGGAAAATCGAGATTTTCGAATGGCAAAGTGGGATTTTACATGATTTGACCATCAAGAGTTGTAGGACGTGACCATCAAGAACTGATTTTTCTTCCGTGAAAGATTGACAAACATCTTGGATTTGGGTACTGTCATCTGAACGATGGATTCGAAGAGAGATGAGGTAAGGTTCTATTCGGGAACTATCGAATCACGATTCACGATGTGGGAGTTTGAACGGAATGAAATAGATAGATTAGATTGGATCAGATTATAGATTTATATCAATTCTGTATGCGATTTACATCAGATCGGTAAGCAGCTCTTGCATCAGACCATCATATCATTTCGAACAGATCCTGGGAATTTCCGTGGGATGGTCCGATCGCTGGATCATCATTTCGGAGCGCCGATTGCAGATGTTTTGCATATCGGATCATCGTAGAAAAATATCACAAAATAGATTTATCAAGATATGGCTAATATCTGTGCTGCTCTGTACTGTTCTGTATTTATCAGAGATGACTAACATCTTGATAAATCTATTTTGTGATATGGATTGCGGAACAGTACAGATATTAGATGATATTAGTCAATACTAGTACATAGATGATTCTACCCATTATAGACCTTTGCCACAGATAAATGTGCAATCTACTTATCTAACATTCTAAGTCTATAGGTTATGATGACCCCGGTCAATAAATGGGGTTGTCTCAAAATCTGGAATCCAAGAGCCTATGCCTTATCACCACTTTCTTGATGAATGTGGCCAGAAAGACCAAGGTAGATTCAATATATGGGGTGGTTCATGGGTACTAAATCATTCTATTGCGATAGTGGTGAATCATGATCTATACCAAAAAATCTCTGGAGAGACAGACAGCAGGATAGGTATTCATAGATTGAGAGGGAGCAAGACAGCACCATTGTGGATGGAGATGCCAACTGGTATAGCTCATGATTGATGGGTTCTGTTTTTCGTTGATAATCTGTTATCTACCTACGGGGTCCAGCAAGGTGCATATACTTCCTATAATTATACATACACAACTATAGTATAGATATATATATATAAATATGCTAGCCCACCCAAAAAAACCTACCTTTTGCTATCTTGTAGCCAGTAGCTTGCGCTCGAAACATGATGCCTTGTGAAAACCTGTGTCTTTTCAGCAGATATGGTACAGACAACTCGACATGTAAATCCACTTTGCAGCATGATTCTTGGCAAGTTTCAGCATGAACAAGTTGCAGAAGCAGGTTTGCAAGCCTCAGGCATGTTGGAACATTCTTTTCAGATGGGCTCACTTGCATGGAATTGTCCTCAGAATGAGAAGAGGATGAGGATGAGTCGGAAGACGATGATTTGGCAACCTTCTCCTCAACGGTGGACTTCTTGTCTTCGATGGCCAGCGCCTTTGCGTCTTTGAATTCCGTCTTGTCCTTTTTGTCCTCCATCGCCAAGGGCTTGGCAATCTTCGACGAGATGGGTTTGGCCAGCAGTGCCTCTAGACGTACTTGTGCGCGTGGGTTCCAGTCGCCACTGGCTCCACCTGGTAGGAGTAACATGCGTTGCACGTTGCCCATAGCATTGGTGATCATTTTTTTGGTGATAGGCTGGCGTGTAGGATGCACTTTGATGGTCCTTGCATCGATTTTGGCTTCGATGTTCTCAGTGGTGGGCCTAATTATTTTGACTTTTGCCTCAGGTGTTGGGTCGGGAAGAGTCAAAGTCAATGTTGCCTGACGTCCCTGTACTTCTACTTGTCCAGCCACAGGAAAGGAGCTCATGTTGCCAAGCTAGGAGGATTAGAACGGTCTAATCGGAAATGCTATATTTGAGATGCGCGCTCGGCCGCATAAGTATTTCAACCCACGTCAACCTAAATGATATTCTTAAGACTGCTCAACCTTTACAATATGAAATAGCAGCTCAACATTGTTTTAAATTAATACAAATTACACTTAAGACATAGGCAACCTTTTCAATATGACATGCTAGCTAAACACTATCATAAGTTATACTTAAGACGTAGTCAAGTATTTCAACCTGATATGCTGGCTCAAAGTCAACGTAAACGATACTCTTAAGACTGCTCAACCTTTACAATATCACATACTAGCTCAACATTAGTATGATTTTTACTTAAGGCATAGTCCGACAGGAAGAAGAACTAAGAGGTCCTAGGACCTCCTTGGAACCAAGAACCAAGAACCAAGATTCCCCCAAAACTTTCTGTGCAATCTTGGTTCTTGGTTCCAGTGAGGTCCTAGGACCTCCTAAGACCTGTTGATGCCAGAACCATCATGTCTCACAAATTTGTCTACATCCACGGTTATATTATATATATATGGTACTCCCCCTCGAAACTATGTCCAAATTTATTTACAAAAACGTTGAAAATAAATCCCCCAAAATATGCCAAAAAAACACTGTAAATACCAGTAAAAATAGTAAACAGGTAGTTGTTTTTGTTTTTTTTTGTGGGGGTGATATATATATATATATATATATGTAATATACGGTATATATATATATACATGTGCCACGGTCAAAAGGATGGTTTGCTGTATGTCTCCATAGTAGGGTACGGTCATCCCCTCCGTTGATTCCAAAGATCATGATGTGACATGGGATGACGTGGTGCTGCCGTGCAGCCTTTGTTGGCCGAGGAACCGCAGGTTGAAGCTTGCCAAGAGAGCGCCACCTTGCAAGGCCATAGACATTGGGGCGGTTGACCATCAGAAATGGGGAAGGTTTTACCGTCATTAGAATATCATGGCGAAGGGGGATAGAATGGGATATGTCTGACATTGACTAAGTTGATATAGCAACGGAAATCCCAACTTTACTGGGACAAACAAGACGATATACGAGAAACATCCAGGTGAAACAACTGGAGGGCACGTTGAATATCAAGTTTTGCTGGTTAATTCAGTGGTCATTTCAGGTACCATATTCCTGCAGCTACTGTGCCAAAAAAAACATATTTTGGGGATACATCCTCCATCATCCTCTGACATAGCCATACATAGCCCTTACATAGAACTGTAGACATATATATATATATAATGATTGTAGGTACCTTCAATTTAGGTTCCTGACATGGGCTGATGAAATAACACAGCTGGTGGTGAAATGGGCTGAGGTGAAGAAGTCACCATTTCGCTGCCGGGTGATGTGAGGGACCCGAGATGACCCCAGGGGCGGTGGGACCGGCCAGGACCAGCCAGGAAACAGTGGCTTGGTGGCTTTTCAGGCACCAAAAAATTGGGAGGCATGGGATTTGGTCCACACAAATACGATGTTAAAACATGGGAAATTTATACTACCATTGGGATTTATGGAGGTGATGATCATGGGGAGGACTGGGTAGGTTTTCCAGGGAAATTTGACAAGAAACCCTTTTAACATTATCTCTCCTGTTGAAAATGTTTTATTGGTTCTTTGATAGATCCTGACAGGTGGTATTGTTGGTGGTTTCAAGCCCTTGTTCCTTCCATCCACTTGATGTGATCGCCAGGTGATAGTTAGAAGGCAACCCCTGGCCCAATGCTGACAATTCCGCGGGAGTCAATTTTAACCTGTTAGGCAAAGGAAAACAAGGGGTTTCGTACTTCTCAGCAGCAACTGTGGGAGAAGTGGCAGAAATGTACGCTGTGCTTTTGGAATTCACATCCTGGCATGCTTCCGATGCCTGCTGAACTCATTTTTGGGGTTCAAGATCATGTCCGCAGATGCCCACCAAGTAAATTGATTAATTACAGATAGATAACTTAGTTGATCTATGAATGTGCCAAATCCATCCAAATCTCAATTTCTTCGCATGCCAAGTCAAATCCCCATTGCTTTGGGCCCAGGGTCCCCCTTGCCATTACTTGCCTCTGCTTTTGGACAAGTTATTCCTGAGTCATGGATGACGAAGCTCTCTACGTAATGGAAATCCATCAAACTTGCTGTTTAGCTACCTTTGGCTATCCTTACCGGGAAGTCATCATTGACACCACTTGAACAATTACCCGAATAGCATCTGCCCGTGGCATAACTTAGGCCTTTAGCTTTGCAGAGGCCGTCGACACGCCAGAGGAATCGCACGACCAGTGATTTTCATACCCAGTAGTTTGGATTGTTTCAGCAGCTTTTCATGTCAACTGCTGATTTGGAGTTTGAACAGCAATATACAATTAGTATCAATTAGTAGTATTATATACTGATAATGTAAACTTGGTTGTGTTGTTATTACTGAGAATCTTCGGAGGAGATTGGGAAAAAGGCAATTGCTTGATGTCAAACTACCGTCAGCAACAAAGTTTGACCCATCAGGGCGAGGGAACTGTCGCAGGTCGGGGGAACCAAATTCATTGGTGGTTTGGTTTTCTTCAACCACACTAGGATGATTTATTCAAAGTCTAGGACGAACAGACTAACAGATTCACTGACTAAGAGTTTTCGGATGGGTTGAAACCACCAGCCAGCTAAGAGCCAGTGACTAGTGATCATATTCCATTTATGGATATTTATAGAGTTTTTTTCCAGCTGTAAACTGTAAACCTCCATTTGCTGGGGATTTTCCAGCGACAGGATGTTCTTAGCGAACTCCGCAGTTGGAGACCCAGTTGGGAGAGCTGGTTTGGCACAAACAATGATTTGTTCACATATTGTTTTTTTGGGCAGTGATGCATTATATATGATTATATATGTATGTTCTATACTGGCTGGTGCTTTGGAACATGGCTTTTATTTTTCCATATATTGGGAATACTCATCCCAATTGACGAACTCATATTTTTCAGAGGGGTAGGTCAACCACCAACCAGTTAATTCTATAACTATGTTTATGCTTATACATGCAATGATTCGACTATGGAAAGGGAGCTGTTTGGAACACTTTGAATTGCGAAGACTCCTGCTGTAGTTGAGGGAAGTGCGCCCAGTGCACATTCCAACCCCGCACCGTTGGTTTTGCACCCGTCAGGAAACTACGTCAAACCAATGCTACGTTCCATTAAATTATGCACTGCTTACATCACCCTTTAGCAGTGCTGGTAGCATCTCAAAACCCACAGATTTCGGAACAAGGATCTAACAGAACGGAACAACCTGCACCCAGCGTTCACTCTTGATGCAGAAGGCACAACCCAGCGTCACCAATGTGCACACTGCATACTGTTTCCAAGGTCATCGGGTATGGATCCGTGTCGTGGGGACATTCCAGAAGTGGCATGATACTCATGGTGATATTTCGAGGGTCCCTCAAAGTGTGCAGGAACTTTCAGTGACATTTACATCCAAGTATATGCAAGTAAATATCTTACATATAATGATATATGATATACATCTATTTGTTATACATAATTTACATAATATATTAATAAGTTTCTTTTTTTAATGTATTTATATGTATATTTATATATATATATATACAGCTATACATCTATCATATATTCTTATATATGTAGCATATATACGTTGTACTTTGTTATATATATAGATACATAACAATATGTGTATATATATATATACATAGTTACATACATACATATATATATATATACATATAAATATATATACATAAATATATATACATAAATATATATACATAAATATATACATACATACATATATATATATATACATACATATATCATACATTATAAATTGTCTTAATGATATATACCTCGATTTCCCCCGTTTTTGCTGCCAGCCGCCCCAGGTGCCAGTGACGACTTCGAGGACGTCGTGGTCGAAGAGTTGGACGGCGACGCGGGCGACGATGAGGACGAGGCAATGCTGCGGTGGTGAACCCGGTTGCTTGACCATGGCGAACCAACAAAGATGCTGGATTTCTAGGATTTTATGTAGATATGATAGATATATAGGATTTGATCATGAAACATTCGGATGTAGATGCGATGTATGTCAATTAAGTTGGTTTGTGTACTAAATTGTTGGATTTATGGATTACGGATCAAATGATCAACAAGCATAGCTGGGGGGGCCAAACATTGTAGACAAGTATGATGATAAGTTATTAAATAATGGGTTCCCCCAACCTGCCAGCTCACTCTGCAGCACTCGACGTGTCAGGACAGGGCGCTGGAAACCGAAGCAGAGGACAACGTGGACGAAGGCGCTGCAACCCGGGATGGTTGACTATACAGTGGTTAGGAGGAGTGGTTTGGAGCTAGTATAGAACTTTCAGACTTCCTCAAAAAATGGGGAGCTAAGGAGCTAGCAAAAGTTGCTCAACCAAATGATAGTCAAAGTTTATTCTTTGAAATGGAGAGGCTGTCGTTGTATACCCCAGCTTGGATATATGAATGAATAATGATGGCTTGGCTTGAATGAATTGGACATATTGGATGACAAGATGAACCTTTGCAGAAATTGTCTACATGTTTGGATCGTCAATGACGTAACATCCCTTTTTTTTTTCGGACCTACTGTGGCATGTGATTGGGATGGCACATTACCATTCTATACGGATCATGAAGGGATGCAGCAGGATAGAACAATCAGGCACTGCATATGGGAGGAAATCATAGTAAACACTACCAAATGGGCAATATATGGCAATATTATTACTGCTAGTATGTATTATTCTTATTGTCAGTATCAATATTATTTACTATTGTTGTATATATCATTACTGTTATTATCATGAGTATCCTTTGTTATTATATACTAGATACTATTTATTATAACTAGATATACCTAGGCAGTTCACGTTCACAAAAACGCTGCTGTTCACCGCAGGGGATGACCTGGACTTCGCCAAAGATTCGGATAGCGATCAACCAGGAGCAACCCAGGAGGACCGGGACCCGTCACTGGGATAATATGTGTATACCACTTACCGGGTTCTATGTGTATATACTATTAGTTAATATTAATTGTATGTATACACTATACATTATCTGTGGTGTTTTTATCATAGGTGAATAGTTGTTATAGGGTTATACATAATATATATATACTATGCTATCGGGTCACCCCCACATATTTACATATATATTTTATGTAATTATAGTATATATAATATGTTATCCGGGTCACCCCCATATGTTTACATATGTATATATATATACTATCTTATCGGGTCACCCACACATACACATATATATATACTTTAAACCCCACAACGCTTCCACTCAGCTATCACAGCAGCAACAGCCGGCTTTTTTCAAAAATTACCCATTTTGACAGAATTCCCCATTCACTACCGGTAGCGAGCGTTCTAAGGAACCCCAATCGTCCCAATTTTTGAAAGAATTCCCCATTCACTACCGGTAGCGAGTGTTCTAAGGAACCCCAATCGTCCCAATTTTTGAAAGAATTCCCCATTCACTACCGGTAGCGAGCGTTCTAAGGGCCCCCCAATCATCCATATGTATAATAGCTGCTTTTAAGATAGATAGCATTCTAACAGGGAGCGACCGTCGCTCCCTCTTAGAACACTCACTACCGGTAGCGAGCGTTCTAAGGGAGGTTTCCTGTCGCTGGAGCACCCTCAATCTTGCGTTCTTCTCACTAAGACCCCAGCGAAAACACAAGATCATCCCTGGTCCGATGTTTGCCAACCCCCCTTTAGAACACTCACTACCGGTAGCGAGCGTTCTAACAGGGAGCGACCGTCGCACCCTGTTAGAACACTATCTATCTTAGGGAGCGTTCTAACAGGTAGCGACCGTCGCTCCCTCTTAGAACACTCACTACCGGTAGCGAGCGTTCTAAGGGCCCCCGATCATCCCAATTTTAGAAAAAATCAATTCAAACCCCAATTCACTACCGGTAGCAAGCGTTCTAAGGAACCCCGATCATCCCAATTTTTGAAAAAATCCACTCAAATCCCAATTCAGCTGCTGTTGCTGCTGTGATAGCTGAGTGGAAGCGTTGTGGGGTTTAAAGTATATATATATGTATGTGTGGGTGACCCGATAAGATAGTATATATATATACATATATGTAAACATATGGGGGTGACCCGGATAACATATTATATATACTATAATTACATAAAATATATATGTAAATATGTGGGGGTGACCCGATAGCATAGTATATATATATTATGTATAACCCTATAGCAACTATTCACCTATGATAAAAACACCACAGTTATACATTTTACATTATATATAATATAAAATATCCGTATATATTATATACCCTGGGCATAAGTAAATGCAAAGATATGATAGAATTTGTCATCACCACATGTTTGAAGCTGATTGGATGCACATCCAAGCGGGAAATAGATAATGTTGTGAGATTTCTTCGAGCTACACAAGTTTTAGTTGTTGAGCCACGCATAAACATAAATATGCAATGTTATTTGTATCATGTATTATCTATTATTTTGCCATCTCTCTATTTGGTATCTCCCTATCCAAATATACGTACAGCCACCCGAAGTGCTAAATCTTAAGACTTGTTGGTTAAAGGATCCTTTTGGACCCTCGGCCAGAAATTGCGGCTGAAATGTCAGCCGTTTGAAGCTTTAGGTATAACTCTCATATGCCATAATATTGTGAAATAACCCGGTATCATTATCTACCTACCTATATCTACCTATCGAACTAAGTCTAACTAATTACTAGCAATTATTTCTAATTAATACTATAATTAGTACATATTAATACTAATTACACTTAGGTCTTCGAAAAAAATCCCAGGATTTGTTCCTTCCAGCCATAGGACGTTGGCCAATGCGACGAGGCCGTCGAGCTCCCTTCGGGCGCCGAGACGGGCGTGGAGGAGTTGCTGCTGATGGATGGTGCCCCGGACGGGGCCCCTGAGCTTGGAGGACACCTGGAGATTTCACCAAAAAACCCTGGGAAAATTGCGATGATTGGGATTGATTGGGATGGATTGGGTGGGATTGGGATTTAGATGGATTTAGTGGCATTTAGATGGATAGTCATGGGATAGTCATGAGATTTTTTCTGCGTTTTCAAGTCACATTTCACATTTTTTCAACATAGAACAATAACAGTGTGAGGTCACTGGAATGATGGGGGTAACCATCCCTTAAAATAGCCAATTGAATTGCTCCAGAAGTATAGCGATATGGGATATGGGATTCAATAGTTAACCAATTAAGAATGGTGAGAATTGGGAGTTAACAAAATTAGCCATCTGAAGAGGAACTTAAGTGTGACTTAAGCATATTCAAACATTGAGCACTGGATTTGGGTGTGTCTGAAAATGGTGGAGTTACCCCGAAGTAATGGCAATTTAAGAAGGGACGGCGTATCATTTTCAGACAAACTCATATGGGTCAGAATCCGTGTTGGATCTGAATTTTCTCAGCATTTTGATTGCATTTTGTGGCCAAAAGGCAATTGTTGTACAGGCGCATTGCCGCTCCAAATGCTGAGACCCCCAATGTTTGGGAGAAGATGAGACCAGCCTCTTCTTTGAGACCAGCTGGCATTTCATGGCGTCATGGTCGATTGGAGAGACCCACGGAAGTTAAATGGCGCGTAATTAATAGCTTATGAGTTTACACGTCATCATATATCCATATTTGATTGCTAGAATTTGCATGTTCCAATGTTCCATTGTGAGTTTTCCGTAGGGGCTAGGGCCTAAGGGCAATCTGATGCGCAAGGTACAGAGCAAGTGATCATCGTCAAGAAGAAGAAAAAGAAGCGGAAGAAGACACTGTACTTGAGATGGGCATGGATCAACATGTCCGTCCCACAAACCCAAAGATGTTGCTTATGTTGCCAGTATTTAGCGTATGTTTTGTTGGTATGCACCATTGCTCGGTCATTTGCTGGTGGTTTGAGACATATTTCTATGTTCCACCTCGGTTTAGGATTATATACAGCGAGCATATTTGGGGTTGGCTCATGGGTTTGCCTAAAGCCAACTTTTCTGGAAGCTGACCCTAGCATTGCCTCAAGCAAACTTAGGGGCATGGAGTTGTATAACATCGTGAAGCATCATCATAAACGAAGCAGCTATTAGTGATGAAATTACCACCAATACATACCAATAGAGCGCAACCTCCCACTTTCAAGTCAACGGTAGCCACAGATTTCCCTTCCTGTTGCACCACTTTCCCATTACCGAACATGACATCGCAGCATCTGCACGCTGCACCCTGAAGCCCTGTGGCCTCACCCCACAAATCATGTCAGACATACGCAGACTCAGCTAGCTATTTTAATGGGGACAATGATGACTGACCAATGGATTTAGGATGATTTAGGATGATTTAGGATGATTTAGGATGATTTAGGATGATTAGGTGCGTCAAATTGTCAGTCCAACCCAGACATGTGTGTGTGTGTGTGACAAGCCAGTTATAGAACAGGCCTGTGCATAGCTTGGACAGTCTTGACACCGGTGTATGACCAGTGTAATTCCATATACTGATCCACACGTATATGATCAGGATTCATCAGGAAAACATCCCAACATGCCATGTCGTTTGTTCATTTTGGGTCCGTTGGAAGGGATCAGAGTTTGACTAAAACCAGTCAAACCAACATGTTTTTTTTATTTCATTGTGTTTTTATCCCTGCGATTTCCTATGGGATTCTAATCCCCAACTGATTGCCCCAACGTGCCATATATTGATATAATATGTGTTGAAACAGTTTGAAACTTCTAGCCATGACCAGCCAGATATATGTTTGAGCGGCCATGGGAACAACCATTTGAGGAAGCGAAAGAAGAGACAAAAAGTCATCGAGGAAGTCACAGCTCCTTGTACTGAAGTCACCACGAGGTGAGTTGGGTCCTTGGCGGAAGCAATGGATTTTTGGTCGTAAAGCCGCAAAATCTCTTTTAAGATTGAAAAATATGGAATATGATCTATAGTTGTTATTCATTATCACTCTGTATATCCAAAGAAAATGCTTATGCAGTCTTATACACATACAGAAAATACAGCAGTACCTGGCGTAGTGTAAGGAAGGAGCTCTTCACTGATGTGCCAAAATTAGATGCCAATATGGGGATGAACATCTCGTGCGTTTTCGACATTTACTTTTCTGAAGTAACTCCCAGAGAACCAAGATTTTCATGCAAACAACACATGGGTGTGGATCACATCTTTACTTTTTACATGCTTTATATTCTGCTGAAAATGGCCGGAGCCCATGCCCATGTCATTCCACATGATCGGTGCCAGGTTTCAGTAGCCGCGGCCTCACAGCCACCTCACTGTAGATGACGGCTAGATAAGGGAAACCACCCTTTTTAGTGTGGCTCAGGTTTTGGAATTATGAGAATCACCTTGAATCTATAGTTGTATATGTATGCTATCATTATTTTTGTTATTTCATTATTATCATTATTATTTATTTTATTTGTGCAAATATGTATGTATATATATATATATATCCTTATAATACACATAAATACGTACACATCCCCACGCTTCGGATGATCCAAGACTTGCTCTGAGGTTGAGAAAAAACCTCCTGTGCCGCGCTTTCCGCACCCGACATCCTCCTTATCGTCGAAGGAAGATGTGTCGTGCGCTGGCAATGCCATGGAGCGCACCGTGTCCTCCACATCAGAACGGGTACCGTTGCGAGAACGTGACTGGGATGACACCCACAGATGGGTTCGGAGGGATGCCCCCTTGATGCCATTTGAATACGGAAAATGCTGAGAAATCACAGGATTTGGGGTTCCTTGTTGAGACAACTCCAGATGGGGGTTATGTGTATGGTTTTGAAACATGTACTGTATATAATTGTTTAGGATACCCAATTGCATCAACTGACTTCAATGTTTTTGTTTCAATCCTGAGATCGTTGGCAACCACCAGAATCCCACAGCATAACTAAAGTCTGTGACTAGGACCAGGGTTCCGCCCCGACGATGGACGTGAAGAATCCTGAAGCGATCACATCCCATGTGAAAATTGAGTGTTTTTTCCAGTACATGATGATGATGATGATGATGGTGATGATGATGATGATCATGATCATGATGATGAGGAGGAGGACGACGACGATGTTGAGGACAATGGCGAGAATGACGAGGATGGCTAATATTAGCAGCATATAGTATTGATATAGTATTGATACTACGGTGCTACTATTAACATAACAATTATTGGACGTAGCAACTTAGAATGATTTATCCACAGTTTATTGTTTTTTGTTGTGTTCATTTGTGTTTCAGGGGAACCAACATGTGCCGTATTCCAGTCCCTGGGGTTCTTTGGTTTCCTAGGCATGGATTCCTTCTACTCTGCAGTTTCCCAGTATATTTGACATGTGGCATAGCGAATGAACGCTTCCACCATTTGGTCAAAATCATTTGTCAGCTGTTATATAATTATTTTCCTTTTGCACTGGTGGTCATTCGGGTATGGCTCAAAATGTTCAACTTCCGAACATGACTTGCGTTCTATTAAAGAAAGATAAACTGTTTATTTGTTCCATGGGTGCCATGGGTACCCTACTTTTGGCCCAGAGCCAGTTGGAATCGTCACCTTGGTTTGCCTCAGAATGAGAGATAATCAGTTTGAATATGCTGATATGGTATGGTATGGTTACCAGTGTGCAACCTTGTATGTTTCATGGGTAATTTGAGGATATGGTACTGATTAGATGTCATAGTGGCATAATGTTTTATAAATATGGAAAAACCAGCCATTTCACTGAATTCACTACAGTGGCTATATTTAAATAGTTACGTCAATAATCTCAAAAGCCAGCCATTTAACTGAATTCACCGTAGCCACATGGTCACAATAATTATTTACCAAACTTTCCATAGTTACTGTACCATAGTTACCAATCTCAAAGGCCAATAGCTAAATATCTGAAGGATGTATATATATATATACACACACATTGTGATAATTGACCGAAGGAAGTTTAGAAGTCAAACTTCCGACAATATGGACAGATGAAAAGCAGAGAAGGGAAGAGGCAGAGAGAAGAGAAAGATTAGAAGAAAAAAGAGTAGAAGAGAAAGAGTAAGAAGAAAGAAGATGCAGATGCGAGAAGTAGGAAAGTCGCGAAACACTGTGTTTTTCCAAAAAAGTAGGCTCGCTAAAGCGGCGGGTGCGGAGCCAGCTGGCCAGATGAGAGATGAAAAATTGCACGCCGTTGTGGCGCGATGCACATTTCCAAGTCAAAATGCCAAAAACACCTGAACGCCGGACCACTTTTGGAAGTTGAGATGTTCAAAAAATGCACGCCGTTGTGGCGCGAAGCACATTTGGAAGTCAAAATGTACAAAGCACACCAGGTTCAGACCACTTTTGGAAGTTGAAATGTCGAAAAAGTGCAAAGCACATTTCGAAGTCAAAATGTTAAAAGCACCACATGTTCGGACCACTTTTGGGCGTTCAGATGTCGTTTCGCGTGGCAGGCGCAAGGGATTGTGCAGCGTGTCAAAAATGAGCAAAACGTAAGGGTTGTGTAGTATTTCCAAAAACGATGGCAAGCGTGGGACATTTGAAGAGGATCTGGAAAGATGCATTTCGCATGGCAGGCGCAATACAAGAGACATGTTCATCAGAGATGTTGGGAGGTCCGGGTGCTGATTTTCTGAGAGGGGTTGCATTTTGGAGCATCACGTCGTTAGTTTCGGGAAGATGATTTTTCCGTGACAGGTGCAGCACTTCGTATGACCCGGCATCACTTTTTCGTGGCAGGCGCAGTGCTTTAGACAGGTGGAATGGAAAAATCGCAGAACGCCTTGATACGAGGCCATCAGCTCTGCACTCAACTTTCCATTTTTGAAGGACGTCTCGCAAGAATTGTTTCGCTTTTGATGTTGTCAAGTTCAAAAATTGACGAAGTATCGTGGAGTTGTTCGTTTTTGATGTTGTCAAGTTCAAAATTGAGGAAGTCTCGCAGAATAGCTTCGTTTTAAATCTTGCAGGCAGATAGATGGATAGATGGATAGATGGATAGATGGATAGATGGATGGATGGATGGATGGATGGATAGATAGATAGATAGATAGACGACTACAACTACACCTACAACTACCACTACACTACACTACAACAACATACTACAACTACAAATGCAAATAGATTACGGTATATTACACTACACTAATTACATTGCACTACACTAAATTAAATCTAATTACATCTAATTACACCTAATTACATCATATTACATCTAATTACACTACACTACACTACTTACACTACAACTACAACAGCAATAACGACAACAACAGCTGCTGCTGCTGCTGCTACTGCTACTACTACTACTACTACTACTGCTACTAGTACCACCACCACCACAGCTACAACTACTACCACCACAGCTACAACTACACTTGCAATTACGCTACATTAGGCTACTCTGCGCAAATTACACTGCAGCACGCTACAACTACAACTACACTGCATTACACAACACTACACTACACTACACTACATTACAACTACAACTACACTACTTCACAGCACACCACACTAGGTTACACTACACTATACCACACTAGAGTACGCAACAGTACAGTACACTACACTAATTACATCACACCACAACTACGACTGCAACTACACTACACTAATTACACTACATACAACTACAACTCCACTACACTACAACTACAATTACAACTGCACTACGCCACACTGCATCCAGGAGTTGTGGTGGGTTACCTCTGCAACCATTGCAACCACTCCAAAAATCACAACTCCAACCACTTGTCGGTCCATCAGTGGATTCGCTCTGCCATCCGTGATTCACAACAACCAACCTCTCCTATAGGTTTCCTATTTTTGAAACTTCCGCCACCGCCTTGCGCGGTGCTACTGGTATATCACCATAGCTGCCATTGTATCCTATAGTAAATATATGTATAGTCAATGTTAAGCCCATAGTTCAATATCATAGAATCAATTAGTTTCCACTGTACCATAGTTTCCTTAGTTACCTCAATTAACTATAGTTACTATACTAATACTATAACACCACATTTACCACTTAGTTATCACCATAGTTACTAGAGCTATCATAGTTCAACATCCATCGCTTCAGTTCTCCCAGGTTTCGCCAAGCACCTCCTGCTGGGTCGCTTCCCGAAGCGGAAGTCCGGCCCGGTGGATCCGCTGGGCGCCGCAGATGTCGCAGATGTCGCGGATGCCAGTGCTGAGGCGGATGACGAGGCGGGAAATTTTCGTCTAAGGGCGGTTGAGATTATATATTCATACAATAACAGTGTCACCTGACCCAATATTATATATTTAGCACCTGACTAATATTTTATATTTTTATATTATCACATTTGTATACTGTTATATCTATAACATTATATATATATATTTATTTAATTATTTTTATATATACATACAGTTTAATTATAGATAGATGAATGTTTGGATTAATGTATGAATAACATGTGTAAAAAAAAAGTAGCCACAACCTATTGTTTACCTTTCGTAGAATAGATATCACAGACCATGAAATGGAACATGTTATATTTTTGGGTGTCTTTGATGCGCACATAATATACATGGTGGGATCCCCTTGTTCCCGAATAAAAATAGATCGACATTGTTCGTTTGCTTTACAAACAGCACAGGTCATTGGGGATTTTTTATAGCCAATGTAGGGAAACCTATCAACGGACTAGCATAATGAGATCGGATAGGATATAGGGGTATTTCCAATGTCTCATCTTGCAGTCTCGTTTGAGACCCATGTCTGGTGATTTTCCTGCTTTGTACAGTAGGTCCCCGTGTTTGGTGATTAAAGTCCTATCTTGAGGTTCCTTTCTTGTTGGTGATTGTCAATGTGTTTCCAGGACAACATCATATCCTGCGGTTGGTTGCTTCCAATTGTTGATTTTCCACGTAGTATGGTGGTCCCCAATGACGAATGTGTAAAGAATGGTTCAGACCAACAATTTGCTGTCCTGACCGGGCAGCTGTCGCTTGTGAGATGAAACATTTTGTCATATCCTATTTTTGTTTGGTGGTTGGACATTTTTCTCCAACAATATTCGGAATGATGATCCCAGCCATCAACCAGATGTAGTTTTATCGAATATATATATATATATAATATATATAATATATATATATATAATTTATATAATTTATATATATAATTTATATATGATTTATATAGAGCTCTATAGTAATATATATATATATATATATGTACATGCAACTATATACCCCCATTACTGTATTTTTTATCACCACTTTAGTCACTTTAGATGGTTAAATGTCCTCTTTTATTGTTTCTTAATCCTCATTCGTCATCTCATCAGATCCTGTCCTTTCCGCGTCCCAGGAGAAGTTTCTGCCTGAAGGGGAGACTGATGGCATGGAAGATGTCTCTGCCAGTGAAAATCAGGCGAAATGTTCCAAGAAGTGTAGCTGCAGGCAGAAAAAACTGTATGGATATGTTTTGACTATGGCCATACAATGCCATGACTAATTGTTTCTTTGTGTTTTTGGGGTTGGATGATTCCGATGGAGTTTGGGCCACATCAGACACACGACACTTATTTTAGGAAGGGATCAACAAACCACCATACATCGGGCTTGTGAACCAGTAAAATCGAGAGAGGGGCTTTCTGATGCTACTTCTGTAGGCATCAGGGAACCATTTGTCTCTGTACGTGGAAATTGGGGAACGACTTATTTTCAAGCAGGACAATTTCAACAAAAACAAACCCAAGGGGAATTCCCAGAACAACTATATAAAGAGTTGGCCAAAAACAACCAAAACTATCTTAAGAATTGGATTCCCACTAGAAGCCCTCAAAGAAACGAGCAAACATCTTCAAACTCAAGCCAAAATATGTTCAATTCAAAAAAACAAGCCACCGTTCAGAGAGACAGCTGTGCTGCCAGGCCGTCTCCAACCCGCGTGGCGTGCCACGCCGCGTTGTTCCCTCCACTTCCGCGGCGGCGCAGCGTGCCGCGCGCGCGCGAGCGCGGGCGCTGCGGCCGCCGCGGGTGGTCCGGATCAAACGTATCCTTCAGAAAGAGCCGGACGTGAGGCAAGGTGGTTCAGTGAGAGGATGTGAGAGGGCCACTCAATGATATCGTATAACATAATATGAAATAATTACTGTAGTTCAGTTACCAATCAACTATAGGTATTCCACGGTATTTCTTTAAATTTAGTTTATCATGGTGAGCATTGGTGAACCATAAAGAAACACCCAACTGTTGAATTGTTGTCAAATGTGGAGTACACTATATAGCTGCTGTATTAGGGATGATTGTAATCCTCAATGGGCTGAGGCCAGAGTTTGGGTAGTTATAGATATCTTGCAGCATCTTGCCATAGAAATTGGAGACCCCGTGAGACCATGGCAGCCATGGCATTGATCGTTGAAGAGGAATTGTGTTGGTGGTTTTGGGCATCAACAACTGGTTGGTATTCACCATCCCTGCTGGGATGATCCGAAATCATATTTGAGATGGTAAAACAATGGTTTGAAAGCAGGAGCAGTAACAAAGCATAACAAAACTGATGTTCCACTACAAAGAATCTGGGAGGTTAAACAACGGGATATTTCCCTTCCAAAAGGAATTGAGAGGTTTATTGATGGTGATATACTGCAGTGCTAGGTCAGGCACAACAAGGGCAGCGGGTAAAGCTTTTGGGATTTATTTCCGCTGCGAAGAGGAATTGGACCAAACTCCAATGAACATGAGATAACATGAGGATTCCCATGAAACAAGATGTGTGATGACTGAAAACAGACCAGATTTCTCCCAGAGTCTGTGAACCTTGGTCCAAACACACAGCTGTGACCTCGCGACTGGTGGCAGGGAAGAAAGTGAAAAAACGGAAACGGATGGCGAAGCAAAGGCGGATGCGCTGGTGAACCTTGGGGATAGAATCTGACATGGATGAAATGGTGAGACACGGTGGAACATATTGTCATGATGTCACTCGGAGCTTCTATCTAAGAGGCAACAGTGTCAGAGGTTTTCCGTAGTACAGATACTTGCCAGCAGGCGAACATGATGATTGTTAAGGTGGGTGTGAAACTCCTTTGCATGGATAAGCAGCTTGCTTGTTTGTTTTACCAATCTGCCAGACATCACCCTAGACATGGAAACTGGAAGGAACTGGTGCCCAGTTGGGCGGTGGGCATTCATCATGGGTTTCTTCATGTGTTCAAAGATTGGATATGCCACCAAAATCGGACATCAATGGATATCATACATCCTTCAAGTTGGAAAGACATGATCTTTGGTACTATACCCTGCACCCACGATTTGAGGCTTGATTGACAAGGCTTGCTAGTCCCCAAAAAGCCGTTCTTTCGTACGATGGTCATCCAGACGAAGCGTACGCAGACTGCTGATTTCACCAGTCGGCCGCCCGATGTTGTGCCTTACACCGGTAACACGGTTACAACATGTTACAGCCCCAAAAAAGCAACTCCTGGGAACACCCTTGGTTGTTGGGACCTAAGTGAGCCGCATTTTGGTTTGTTGTCATATTCCCATTTGTGGTTGAGAAAACCTGGGATTCTTCTTAAACCTGCATGTCCAAGCAAATATTTTGATCTACTAACCAGATCCCCCCTTCATGGTGGGTGATCATATTGGATCATACTTATTGGCACAAAATCCATATGTGTTCATACAATTATTTTTTTCTTGGTCAAGATAAGATTTTGGTACTCCTAAGTGGCTTGCTGGAAAACCCTCAATTTTCTCGATGATTTTCCAAAGAAAACTCCTGCAGATGATTCTCCAGCCAGGGCTCTCCAAACCCCAGATCCTTTGGACTGGTGGCCAAAGCAATGCCACTACGTATCTGGATCAATGGCTGTTGGGAGAGTTGGAACTGGCGGGTTTTTATCATGGGAGGACATGGGAGGACCACCTGGAAGGTTCTCGGTGAACTGGAGAACACATCCTTCTGGCTGAAGGTTATGATGTTTTCGACAAACAAAGAGCTGCAGTACTTGTTCCGTGCAAACAAGTTGAACAATGTTCATATTCTGTTGTCCAATCCTCGATTCGAAATCCCTGGGGTGAAACTCTTGGAGGCCGAATCTTGCCATGATTTTTTTACGGTCAAACACTGTTTTTGAACCAATGCTACTGGATTAGTTTGAATGCTCAACTGACCCCAAAGGAGGTCCAAGAGCGAACAAGTTCATGGATGTTTGATGAGTTTTCTAGTAGGGTTAGAAGGAATTTAAGGTAGTAGGGATCCTTGACTTAGTGAATTGAAACATCTTTGCAAATAGTTCTACAGCAGCACATAGGGGGCGGAATCTGAGAAAGGACTTGGACATAAATGTACGTTTGCTTTTGCCTAGAAGTCATCAGCACGTTTGCAGCTCCAAGTCATTCTGCTTCTTTTCTCATGCAGTTGGGTTTTGTCTGAGAATGTTAGGAACATCCCCCAAATCCAATGTTAGGATCAGGTCCTTGATGAATAGATATGGGCTGTTGCCTACTGTAGGGTGATGTCTCAAGACTCATGATTCCTCTTCGGTAGTCATAGTATCTCTTGTTGTAGTTCAGTATCTTCATTTTGTTCTTGTTGATTCCCACTTGTAGCTGGTCGAACCATCCAATTTTTATTTTCTGAATTTCCCTTGGATGCCGAACTAAGGCAGAGGCCAACCACCCAAGACCGTCTGGAAAGAGGCCAGCGGGCTGGGTTCGATGATGTTTTTTGCCTTGGAAATAGCGTGTTTTTCTTGGTTTCCTGTGGGATTGATGTTTGGAATTTATCATCACTTTCCCATTTGAGGTATCCCAATTTTCAGGCAAACCCATATTGTATCACCATGTTTGTTCTTACGTGTTTGCACTGGAGTTCATGAAATTCACGTCGTTCATGAAATTGTGTGCTGGGGCAAAAACATATTTGAAGTCCTGACTCTCCAGTCTTGCCTCGAAAAATGTACTTGAGAATGGAGAAGCTATAGAATCTTCATGTTGGCGATCAGTTATGTACCCAATTTAGTTTTGGTTAAATCAATTCATCCGAATGGTCGCTTCTTTTCCCATCATTGGATCAATGAATTAACAGCAATTCATATATATTCACAAACATTTATACACCATGGAGTAGATAGAATACCACCAATCTATTTTTGGGGATAATCCAATTTAGCATTATTCCACTATTCCATCTACTTTAGTAATGATTGGTTAGCACAATTTACCCAGTTGTTTTGGTTGTTGTTGATTTGAAACCAAAGCACTCTGGACACCCGTGAGTCCTTCACGTTTGGTGGAATAGGTCTCCATATATCCAATACTTGCTGGTTGAATCCTTGTTTACATAGTTTACCACACCTTTGATTACTTTTCCTGGGTGGTGGTTTCAGGCATTGATTGTTTATATCACATTCCAGAGAGTAATTTCCAACATTCTTTTGTTAGTTTCCGGTTGAATTTGAACTGCCCCCCAAGAGAATGCCATAAATTCGTGGTATACCCATTTGCAGACACGCCTACATATCCATAATTGGGACAGTTCCTATGCCATTTCTTCTTCTTCAACAAAAAATGAGCATGCTTCAATCCCAAACTGTGTTTGTTAGATCGTTAACCGAGTGATAAGCCAGCTGACCTATCATGAATGAGCTATTCTCACCTCTAAAATATGTCCATTTTCCCCGGTTATTCCCCTATTTGTTCATGGTAAAACATGGCGATTTTGGTGAAATTCCCCGAGCCATCGTGACAAAAATCTCGCCGCAGCCGGTGGTGGAGACGCTCCTGTCCTTGGGATCTTTGTGCCTTGTTCTGGATTTTAGCAGGCAAAATAGGCTGGAAACAGCTGGAAAACTATGGGGATGGGTCAAGTTACCTATGAAAATTACCGTATGAGTGGGGGTATAAACATCGTTGAACCAGATTGAACCAGCTATGACTTTGGGTAACGTTTGGGCCCCACGGTTTTGACTCATACCCCTATAGAGAAATTGAGATGGAAAAAAAGATGAGCAGTGGCAGTGTTGATGATTGTAGGGGGTGATACAACCTTTTACTAGGGATGATCACAATCCATAGATATCCATGGTTTGGGAATTCGAGAATGTAGACCGCTGGTGTATGCTGGTGTATTCAACAAAACACAGGGGACAGTCCAACTAGCAAAAATGAGGGATTCAACCAGCCAAGATTGCAATTTACCATGGGACAACATGGGACAACATGTTTTTAGCTATCAATCATTGAGATTTTACAAGCCAAAAGGGTTTCAACAATCAAAAAAGGGAGGGAAATGGCCATAGTTCGTAGTACTTGGGAGTGCACTTCCGCATAATAAGTGGGTATGTGGCAATGTATATGACCAATGCGGGTTGAAAGGGTTAGAGCTATTTATGGTTCTGCCCGTAAATTGATTCCCCCCATTGCACCCCCAGGCGGAACCTAACTGCTGGCACACCATCGGACTGATACAAACGCCATATTTGGAACCAATGTTAATGTCAGATGGGCCATGAACAAGATGCACAAGTTGATTGGTTATGAAATATGGGGGTTTAAGCATGTTTGTTTCATCTGAAAGAAATCTGGGAAGATGATACAACATATACAGCTGATAAATGAGTGTTGATTGATTATTGTAAGAAGGTACAATATATCTGGTTGTTGGGTAATATGAACTAGCCCATATTAATTAGGGAAAGCTATCAACCACCTAATGTAATGATGACGATCCATGGGATGGAATTTGCGTACCCTTCTTTTGGAGACATTGGAGAAATTGTGCAACCAACATCAACCTATGCCTATACTAACCATTCAATATCTTCATGTTTGTGTTCAAAAAACACCATGCAATGGATCCATTGATAAATGGTAGTACTTCACTAGAAGTATTTTGGTGAAATATATATATATATATACCCATTTGTTGGTGATCTTCACATGTCCACTTTGAATACACCTCAATTGATGCAGATATACTCGTATTTAGTACCACCAATAATTTGTGATGCTTGGCCTTGTAAAACAATTTCAACAATGTTATTATTTTAATTTGTGCATAGGTTGACGTATGGGATAGTTACAGGATGCAGCATATACATGTCGAATACCTCCCAGCTTTATCACGATGTTTATTACATGGATATCCCCCATTGTATTTATAAATATACATGTGTAGATATATATATATATATACATATACATACATACATCAGATATTTTCTAATGTCCTTGTGTTGATATGCACATGACAATATCACCATCTATCAACGTGGTATCTAACCTTCTTCACAAAAATAGTTACTTAAGTATCCTTTAAAAATGCAGATTGATCGGCCAAATGTTATCTCATGAATGAGTTTTGGGTTACCCTATTTTCAGATAACTCCAATAAAGCTATCTATCTATCTATCTATCTATCTATCTATCTACCCATCCATCTATCTATTCCTATCTATTCCTATCTATTGCTATCTATTCCTATCTATTCCTATCTATTTATTTGTTTCTATTCCTTTCTATTCCTATCTACTCCTATCTGTTCCTATCTAATCCTATCTATTCCTATCTATTCCTATCTATTGCTATCTATTGCTTTCTATTCCTATCTATTCCTATCTATTCCGATCTATTCCTATCTAATCCTATCTATTCCTTTCTATTCCTATCTATTCCTATCTGTTCCTATCTAATCCTATCTATTCCTATCTATTCCTATCTATTGCTATCTATTCCTATCTATTCCTATCTATTCCTATCTAATCCTATCTATTCCTATCTATTCCTATCTAATCCTATCTATTTGTATCTATTCCTTTCTATTCCTATCTATTCCTATCTATTCCTATCTATTGCTATCTATTCCTTTCTATTCCTATCTTTTCCTATCTATTCCTATCTATTCCTATCGATCTATCGATCTATCTATCTAGCTAGCTAGCTAGCTATCTATCTATCTGTCTATCTATCTATCTCTCTCTCTCTCTCTATCTCTCTCTCTCTATCTATATCTATCTATCTAGCTATCTATCTATCTATCTATCTGTCTATCTATCTATCTATCGATCTTTCTATCTATCTACCTATCTATCTATCTATCTGTCTATCTATCTATCTCTATCTATCTAGCTATCTATCTATCTATCTGTCTATCTATCTATCTATCTATCGATCTTTCTATCTATCTACCTATCTATCTATCTATCTATCTGTCTCTCTATCTATCTATCTGTCTATCTATCTATCTATCGATCTTTCTATCTATCTACCTATCTATCTATCTATCTATCTGTCTATCTATCTATCTATCTGTGTATATATATATACATATGGTTATTTAGACATACGTTTACATATATGTTCATTTACAACACATAGATATATATATATATATATGTATATTTATAGACATTCATTTATATATATATATGTATCCATACATATGTATATATATATATATTATTCCATTGAGAGTGGCCCACAGATATCTCAGGCCATCCACACTTTCATCGATTTTGCTGCGCTTTCTTCAGGTACTTCTCGTTCAGCTCCATGCGGACGCCGGAGGGGAAGAAGGCGGGCGTCATGACACATGGGGGTTTCCATAATGGTTCGTATAGGGAAGCAGCCCCAAATCACACTATTTCAGGTTAGTGAATTCCTGTAATTTACCAATAGTTATTGGGATTCTATACTATAGTTATTATAGTGCTGCAGGTATAGTTACAACCAATATTCCATACTATATGAATTATAGTGATCATTACTATGATGAGAATGGGGGGGTGTCCAAAGTCATGGGGGTACCCCAATAGCTGGACAGTTTGTAATGGAAAATCCTTCCTAAAAGAATGGATGATTTCGGGGTACCCCACGGATGAAGCAATAATTGTCTCCATAAACAGAAACTAACCTGATTGCTTTGCGCAACTTTGCTTATTCTTGGGGCACCACCTTGTAGTAGAAGTCAGTTTTCATGAACTATCCTCTGTTAGATTCTTGTAATAGTTTAATAGGTGGTGCATGGGTTGTGAACCACCAACCTCTTGTGAGATGCACATCCATTTTTTTGGAAGGGACCTTGGTGTTTTGTGATGTGTGAAGGACCAACAGTCAGAAACCAGTCAAGATATGAGCAAACATATATGAAAAGTTGGAATTTAAAATCACGGTGATTACTTTAAAAAGTGTGGATAGTCTAATGGGAAGATGCACGGCTGATGTTTTTGTATCTTCGGGTTTAGTTATATATCGAACGTCAACCAGCGATCCTGACGAAATGCAGGTACCATTGAAGAACCGAGACAAAGTGGTTCAGACCCTGCATGAGTTGAATACGAAGGCGATGGCTGAGATTGGGTCCCACTCCTGGCTGAAGCTTCATCCCAATTAGTAAATCCCCGTTTCGTGGGCTGTCCATTATATGGTGACCATATAGACCATAGTTAGTTCATATATGTATGATATCCCATGATTCACTGATATGGTTTTCACCATAGTAGATTATGAATAGGTGAACACTATGGTGACCAACCAGTGACGAGGGAGCGTGATCCGCCGTTGAGCAGTGGCTGCGTTCCATCCACCGATCTGCTCCCCTTCGGAGATCGAGCGTTGAGCATTTTCATGTGCGAAAGATGCTAGGTTGTTCTTGTTATCCAGGAAATACCCTGAAAATTGCGTGGTGGAATATATACACATGTAGTGCCCTTTCATTTGTGTATGATTTCTTGTTTGGGTATGGGTGAAAATTGGGAACCCGGGGGACCACTAGTCATCTAGTCGTGTTTTTTTGGTTAACCATTGAAATTGTGGTATCCAATTTTGATCCGTACACTTATCTGCTTGGTGGTTTGAAACATGTTTTATTTTTCCATATATTGGGAATAATCGTCCCAAGTGACTTTCATGTTTTTCAGATGTGTGGCTCAACCACCAACCAGATTATTATTATCATTAACCATATAATAACCATATATATATATATTAACCATATATTACCAATATATATTAACCATATATATTAACCATATATTAACAGTATATTACTGTTATTTCTTATGGATATTGCAACTCGCCACGAATCAACGCAGGTGGCGCTGCCCATTTGTCGCCAATTTGGCCTGCGCTACAACTTCTTTTCGGAACACCACCCGCAGGCCGGTCATCTGCTTCCCCAACTCACGGGGTCAAGGGGAAAGGATTTCATGGCCAAACGATTTGGGATTATCCGATGATTATCCCTCTCTCTCTAAATCTTTTCATATATATATAATTATGTGTATAAATATATATATATATATATATCTATCTATCACATATGATTTGTGGTTGTTTTATGTACATATCCAAGCAATGTGCATAGAGAGAGAGAGGGGATTGCATGCATATTGGGAGTTTGTACCACTGGACCATATCAGCCCATGTAGGTGATATTGTCAGCTTGTAGCTACCTCACTGGCGGAAGTCACCATAAAGTCACCATAAATGACGGTTGAGATAAAGCTAGTCATCCCAAAATATCCAAAACATGTTGGAAATCAAATCCAAAGATTACTGTTACTATATATATATATACATATGTTATCATATGTGTTATTTTGGTTTATTATCATTGGATTATTCACAATCATTTGTCATCGTATTTCCAGTCTCGACATTGCCAGAAATCTTCCCATCTCCAGTCAAAGTCTCCAAGATGTGACGTGATTCAGCTGGAGGATAAACTAACAAGTTTGTTACGGAACAGTTTGCTACGGAAAATCACCATTTTGAATAGGTAAATGATTTACTGTTAAATGGACCATTTTCTATAGCTATGTTTGACTACCAGATTCTTGGACAAGTGCGTTTGAAATCTTGGGACCAGAATGTTGACAAGATATCGATGATTTCAGCGGCCAATATTGGGATACGGCTTTTGGATCTAAACCCCAAGGGCACAAGGTGAAAGCTACAGCCACAGGCTGGTTGATCTCTGCTTTAGTTGAGGCAATCTCATTCCCGAATTCTGATTTCTACCCGTTCTACCCCCTTCAGCATCACAGTATTGGTGAACAATGATTGTTGATTGTCCCATGATCCCATTGTCCCATTGATTATTCCCAAGTGATAAGCTGAGTTTCGCCCATCTAACTTCATCTAACTCATGTATATAGTTACCCAATAGTTATATCATTGCTATCAGCCAACTTAGCGAACTGGGGCAACACCTTGCCCACATCTTGGATGGTCATAGAAAACAGCTTCTTCCCTATTCATCCAGTTTACCCACATGTACTATGTATATATATATATATATGTATATGTAATTAGAGTACATATGATGACAGATTCTGTGATGTATCTTCAGATCCTTATGAAAAAATAGTTTCTTCCCCACATCTCGGGATTCAAAAACCCCAATCTCTGAGGCCAAAAAGGCCGGAGTCACCTGCAAAGAGCCATTGATCTTGCGGCGACTTGGTGGCGGTGGCAGGGAAGAAAAAAAATCACCGAGACCGACAGTACTAGGTCCGCGTAAGTGGGGTTATCCATCCCATGTATATATATATATTACATATATATATATTACATATATATATACATACATATATATATATACATGTATACATATATTTATATACATACGCACACACATATATATATTTCATATATTTACATATATTTATATATACACATATATATATATATATTACATATATATACATATATTTATATACATACACATACATGTTTATTTTCATATATGTATTACATACATATACATATATTTATATTCATATATGTTTAAATTACATATATATATATATATACATTTTTTATACATATACATATATATATATAATACATATATATATATTTATGTTATATATATATATATTTAATACATATATATATTACATATCTACATATATCTACATATATTTATATACATACATTTACATATATACATAGATTTATTTACATACATATTTATAAACATATACATAAACATAGATATATGTATATGTGTATGTTACATACATATACATATACATATATATATATATTACATGCATATACATTTATATATATTACATTGATACATATATTTATTTACATACATATATTTTCATATATGCATACATATATGTATATACATATATATATATAAACGTGTATGTATGTATGTATACATACATACATGCGTGCGTGCGTACCTACGTGCATACCTCCATACATACATACATACATACATACATGCAGACATACATACATACATACAAACATACATACATACATACACATACAATTCATTTTTGAATATGTACCAATGTTTGTTTACATGCGTATATACATATATATATATGCATGTACTTGTTTACCTATATATACATACACATACTGACACATATACATATATATATATACACAATTTTTACGAGTACAGTAGATATAATATATATAAATGAATGATATGACTACCTTTACATACATACATACGTACATACACACATGCATACACGTCACATGCATACACGTCACATGCATACACGTCACATGCATACAGTGACCGACAGAATTTTGGAAATGAAAAAAGGTTCGCGCGCCGCAGGTATCGGAAAAGGTTCGGGACCGAAACCAAGACAAAAGATTAGCGACATTACGGACTTTCAAAAAAATAATTTTGGAAATAGCAATTTTCGGATCCTGATCCTCTAAAAAGAAAAAAAGGATGAGACAAATGAATACAAAAGCCTCTAATCCACGATGCAAAATTAATTTCGGAAATCTTACTTATCGGATCCTGATCCTTCAAACTACCTGGTTTTGATTGTTTTTGCAGGATCTTGGGACAGAATCCAGATTCGGTTTCGGGACCCTCATCCTCCAAACTACCTGGTTTACAGCGTATTTGCATGATTTTGGGACAAAATCCAGATTCAGTTTTGGGATCCTTATCCTCCAAACCACCTGGTTTACAGCAAACCTGCATGATCTTGGGACTAAATCTAGATTCAGTTTTCGGGTCCTGATCCTTCAAAAAAAAGGATGAAACACATGTATACAAATGTCTACAAAAGCCTCTAATCCACGATGTAAAATTAATTTTGGAAATCTCACTTTTCGGATCCTGACCCTCCAAACTACCTGGGTTTGAGTGTTTTTGCGTGATTTTGGGACTAAATCCAAATTCAGTTTTGGGATCCTTATCCTCCAAACCACCTTGTTTACAGTGTATCTGCATGATCTTGGGACTAAATCTAGATTCAATTTTCGAATCCTGATCCTCCAAACCAGCTGGTTTACAGCGTATTTGCATGATCTTGGGACAAAATCCAGATTCAGTTTTGGGATCCTGATCCTTCAAGAAAAAGGATGAGACAAATGTCTACAAAAGGCTCTAATCCACGATGCAAAATTAATTTTGGAAATCTTACTTTTCGGACCCTGATCCTCCAAATTACCTAGTTTTGAATGTTTTGCATGATTTTGGAACTGAGTCCAGATTCAGCTTTGTTATCCTTATCCTCCAAACTACCTGGTTTACAGCGTATTTGCATGATCTTGGGACTAAATCCAGGTTCAGTTTTGGGATCCTGATCCTTCAAAAAAACAGGATGAAACAAATGTCTACAAAAGCGTCTAGTCCACGATGCAAAAATAATTTTGGAAATCTTACTTTTCGGACCCTGATCCTCCAAACTACCTAGTTTTGAAATGTTTTGAATGTTTTTGCATGATTTTGGAACTGAGTCCAGATTCAGCTTTGTTATCCTTATCCTC